AACAAAATCCATTTTGGCCGAAAATGACAAAAATTGTAAGTCTTATGCCTTAAAGGATTTTGGGCCAAAAATACGTTTTCTCTCTGAACTAAAATTTAATGTGCCTAACTACTTAAGTACATCCAGAATAATACACAAGCACCAAGAAATGACCTCGAAAACCCATAAGTGGCGAGAAATTAGCATTGCAAAAGTAATTAAAATATTCTAAAAATCATTTGAACATTTTCTAAAAGCCATTTGAACAAGTTATAATCAAGATATCAAATTTTTGGTTAACAGATCTAAGCAGCACATTCAGGGAGTACCTGCTACTGAAATTTTGAACAAAATCCATTTTGGGCCGAAAATGACAAAAATTGTAAGTCTTATGCCTTGAGATTTTTTGGCCAAAAATGCTTTTTCTCTCTGAACTAAAATTTATTATTGCTAACTTATTTAAGGAAGTACATCAGAATAATACACAAGCACCAAGAAATGACCTAAAACCCGCAAGTGGCGAGAGTAATTAGCATTGCAAAGTAATTAAAATATTCTAAAAATCATTTTGAACATTTTCACAAAGCCATTTGAACAAGTTATAATCAAGATGTCAAATTTTGGTTAACAGATCGTAACCTTTTTATTCAGAGTACCTATACTGAAATTTTGAACAAAATCCATTTTGGGCAAAAATGACAAAAATTGTAAGTCTAATGCCTTAGAAACTTTTGGCCAAAATACTTTTTCTCTGAACTAACATTTAATGTGCCTAACTATTTAAGTACATCAGAATAATACACAAACACCAAGAAATGACCTCAAAAACCCATAAGTGGCGAGTAATTAGCATTACCAAAAGTAATTAAAAATATTCTAAAATCATTTGAACATTTTCTAAAAGCCATTTGAACAAGTTATAATCAAGATATCAAATTTTGGTTAACAGATCCTTAAGCAGCACATTCAGGAGTACCTATACTGATATTTTGAACAAAATCCATTTTTGGGCCGAAAATGACAAAAATTGTAAGTCTAATGCCTTAAAGGATTTTTGGCCAAAAATACTTTTTCTCTCTGAACTAACATTTAATGTGCCTAACTATTTAAGTACATCCAGAATAATACACAAGCACCAAGAAATGACCTAGAAAACCCATAAGTGGCGAGTAATTAGCATTGCAAAAGTAATTAAAATATTCTAAAAATCATTTGAACATTTTTTAAAAGCCATTTGAACAAGTTATAATCAAGATATCAAATTTTGGTTAACAGATCCTTAAGCAGCACATTCAGGAGTACCTATACTGAAATTTTGAACAAAATCCATTTTTGGCCGAAAATGACAAAAATTGTAAGTCTATTGCCTTAAAGGATTTTTGGCCAAAAATACTTTTCTCTCTGAACTAAAATTTAATGTGCCTAACTATTTAAGTACATCCAGAATAATACACAAGCACCAAGAAATGACCTCAAAAACCCATAAGTGGCGAGTAATTAGCATTACAAAAGTAATTAAAATATTCTAAAATCATTTGAACATTTTCTAAAAGCCATTTGAACAAGTTATAATCAAGATATCAAATTTTGCTAACAGATCCTTAAGCAGCACATTCAGAGTACTTTATACTGAAATTTTGAACAAAATCCATTTTTGGCCGAAAATGACAAAAATTGTAAGTCTTATGCCTTAAAGGATTTTTGGCCAAAAATACGTTTTCTCTCTGAACTAAAATTTAATGTGCCTAACTATTTAAGTACATCCAGAATAATACACAAGCACCAAGAAATGACCTCGAAAACCCATAAGTGGCGAGTAATTAGCATTGCAAAAGTAATTAAAATATTCTAAAAATCATTTGAACATTTTCTAAAAGCCATTTGAACAAGTTATAATCAAGATATCAAATTTTGGTTAACAGATCCTTAAGCAGCACATTCAGGAGTACCTATACTGAAATTTTGAACAAAATCCATTTTTTGGCCGAAAATGACAAAAATTGTAAGGCTTACCCTTTACAGAATTTTTGGCCAAAAATACTTTTTCTCTCTGAACTAAAATTTAATGTGCCTAACTATTTAAGTACATCCAGAATAATACACAAGCACCAAGAATGACCTCGAAAACCCATAAGTGGCGAGTAATTAGCATTGCAAAAGTAATTAAAATATTCTAAAAATCATTTGAACATTTTCTAAAAGCCATTTGAACAAGTTATAATCAAGATATCAAATTTTGGTTAACAGATCCTTAAGCAGCACATTCAGGAGTACCTATACTGAAATTTTGAACAAAATCCATTTTTTGGCCGAAAATGACAAAAATTGTAAGTCTTAGCCTTAAAGGATTTTTGGCCAAAAATACTTTTTCTCTCTGAACTAAAATTTAATGTGCCTAACTATTTAAGTACATCCAGAATAATACACAAGCACCAAGAAATGACCTCGAAAACCCATAAGTGGCGAGTAATTAGCATTGCAAAAGTAATTAAAATATTCTAAAAATCATTTGAACATTTTCTAAAAGCCATTTGAACAAGTTATAATCAAGATATCAAATTTTGGTTAACAGATCCTTAAGCAGAACATTCAGGAGTACCTATACTGAAATTTTGAACAAAATCCATTTTTGGCCGAAAATGACAAAAATTGTAAGTCTAATGCCTTAAAGGATTTTTGGCCAAAAATACTTTTTCTCTCAGAACTAAAATTTAATGTGCCTAACTGTTTAAGTAGGCTACATCCAGAATAATACACAACCACCAAGAAATGACCTCGAAAACCCATAAGTGGCGAGTAATTAGCATTGCAAAAGTAATTATAATTATCTAAAAGCCATTTGAACAAGTAATTATCCATATATCAAATTTTGGTTAACAGATCCTTAAGCAGCATGTTCAGGAGTACCTATACTGAGATTTTGAACAAAATCTGTTTTTTGGCCGAAAATGACAAAAATTGTAAGTCTTATCCCTTGGTAATTTTTCGCCCAAAATATAATTTTTACACAGAATTGAAATTTAAGGGGTTTAACTAATACAAGTACTTACAGAATAACACTTTAACACCAAATTCGTACTTTGGAATCCCATAGTTGGCGAGTAATTAGCATTGAGAAATGTAATTAAATTCTCCAAGGGTCATTACAGCCACTAATTACCCTGCAATCGAATCGTGGACCATATAGTCGAAATCAGCATGCTCTGGAGTACTTATGTGATTTTCAACAAAATCTAATTTTTGGGCCAAAACTGTCGAAGAGGTAAGGCTTACCCCTTGGTAATTTTTTGCCCAAAATATACTTTTTTCACAATATTTAAATTTAAGGGGTTTACATATTTTAATTCTTACAGAATAACACAATAACACCCAACTTGCGCTTTGGAAACTCATAGTTGGCGAGTAATTAGCATTGAAAAATGTAATTAAATTCTCCAAGGGTCATTACAGCCACTAATTACCTAGCAATCGAATCGTGGACCATATAGTCGAAATCAGCATGCTCTGGAGTTCAGTATAGTCTCAGTTTATGCAGTCAATTAAACCCGTGGAGGTCTGAAAAACGAAAAACGTGTAAACGAAATAACAGAACATATGGGATTAATTGAAATAGAGACTGGGCCAACTCCCAAACTCCACTTTTTCCGACACAATACGTACTTTGTAGTAAAAATATCATAATTTTATGATGGTATTGACACACGCATAATATCTAAATACTGTATAAAACTACACTACTGTACAAATAAAGGTGTTTAACACTTACGTTAGTTGAAGAGATGGGTCAGTATACAGGAATGGCGGCTGGTTCCGAGGCAGAGTGCAGATTAGTTGCCCTCCGGTGAATCACTATCACTATCCAGAAAGGTTTGCAGGGCCTCCCTGACAAACTCCTCAAAGTCCATATCGTCACTGTCACTATCACTGGCTTGGGCTGGCTGTGGTTGGGGTGGGTTGCGGGCGAGACTAGCATTGATGTTGTCGTGATACATCTGGACATACGGCTCCATAATTTTTTACAGAAGGTTATTAGACACTTCATACTGATGCTTGACTATGTCTTTGTCAAGGATGAAATTGATTTTCTCCCCCAACTCGATGACTTCCTTCACATAATCATGGCTTGGTCCAGGTTCAAGGTTTTTCTGGGGTGGTGGGGGTCCAGCAGAAGCCATTGTGAGGGGAATAGCGGGCACAAGAGAAAACTGTATACGCGGAGAACTGAAAACAATGAGAGTAGCCCGGCTTGGTCAGCGACTCCTTCCCTCTGGTGGCAGGGCACATCATGTTACATTAAACCAATCACAGCTAGCGGCAGAGGGAGGTAAGGATGCGTGACCCAATCACAGTCCAATACGTTATATGACGTCAGAGATAACGTAAGAGCGACCTAATGTGCATCCCTCGCCACGCCGTTTCCCGCGTATGGTCAAAAATGGACCGTGAGTAAAAAATGGAGCAGCGCATCTGTACCTCTCCAGCCGCTCGCCGTGTAAATGATGAAATTTACCGCGTAATTAAAACATTTCATTCTGGCAAGACACCGGGTAAATGACCAAACGCGTAAACAAAATCCGCATAAATAGAGACTATACTGTACTTATAATGTGATTTTCAACAAAATCTAATTGTTGGGCCAAAACTGTCGAAAAGGTAAGGCTTACCCCTTGGTAATTTTTTGCCCAAAATATACTTTTTTCACAATTGAAATGTAAGTAGTTTATCTAATTAAGTACTTACAGAACAACACATTAACACCAAAATAGCACTATGGAAACCCATAGTTGGCGATTAATTACATTGAAATATGTAATTAAATTATCCAAGGGCCATTACAGCCACTAATTACCCCGCAATTGAATCGTGGACCATATAGTCTAATTCAGCATGCCCACTGCATCTGGAGGGCCCCTGTTGGCTCTGCCACCCCTGGGGGTGCTGCTGCCCCTGGCAGGGCCCCTGGGGGCACAGCTGCACATTGATATATTGTATACTGTACTGTATATGTAAAAAAAATCATATCCAAGGGAATCTTTTATTTTGAACCAGTTTACAGTATTGTGCGGTAGAGTACTTCAATCATCTTGCAACAACCAAATATATCCTTATCCGATCACAAGTTGATAGAATGTGATAATGCAGTAAAACCACAGGGATATGAACTTCTATAATCCTAGTTTTTTATTGAATAAAGTAAAAAAAAAAGTTATGAATACAGTATGCCTTTAACAGCAAACAAGACCAATTCTTTACAAACATTACAAATAACTTATACTAATAAGTACTTGAAATGTAGCCCTCATACAGTACTGCATAAACTGAAGAAAAAATATGAAAGAACATTTTTGGGGGTTTATGCTGAAATTTACTTAAAATGGATAAAATAAAAAGGCAGTGCACCCAAACTCATATGCTTGATGCACTTCAGATCTTGTAATATCAATAAGTAATAAACATTTCAGAATGGTTCTCTCCTTCATGAATGCAGCAGAATGTGTATTAACTGATGTCACATTGATGAACATATTTAATTTATGCTGATTTGGATATTATATGTAGCACTGAAGGCAGAGAGGTAATGGATTGATCAGAATATGAGCTGCACCTCTCCATCATACACACCATGCTGTAGTTGCCATCATGAATGTTATCAGATCTTCAGTCAACCACAGCTATATTGAATAGCTACCATTGAGTGTAACAATAGTAAAATAAAGAGCTTACAAAATAATATACAGTATGCAATTACAATAAAATAGGAATCTTTACAGCTGCATAATACCATGAAGAAAACAAGTATGTCATAAGGATTTAAATAATCTCATCTTAATGTTCAAATATAATTTTATCATTATTGAATGCATATTAATACCATCAATAAGTGTAGCTGATCCCTTTCTCTATTATAAAACAAGAATAATACCTTCACATCATGATATTTAAGACAAGACTTCAATAAACCTGGTGGTAGGGGGGCCAGACACAGGCACCAACTACCTGTTAGTTTGCACAACCTTGGAAGACTCTTAAAATATTATCCACCAATACACATGATTTATAAATGTTGTTTGCCTCATTTTATCTGAACACTTATACAACATTTTTGCCAATCTAAATACAAGACCTCATTCACCTATAATTACCAAGACCCAGAGAGATGTTACCTTTTAGGTGTTTCTTCGTTGAAATGATCTTCGTATACGTATAAGCAAAAAATAGCCAGGCAAGAACATTCAATCCATTAATTAAAACCAATTACCATGTAGGTAAACCTGACTAAACTTGGTCATGACTGTTTATAAATTCAACATTATAATAGCACAAGAATACAGTATTATTCTTTAGCAATCTTCTATCATATATTTTTATAAGATCTTCCTGCTATTAAAGGATCCAGATACCTTGACTGACTACGGGCTGAACAAGTGCAAGAGTTTTGTATGGAAGGATAAATGGACACTCACTAATTTGATGGTTAAGTGAAAATGAGCCCTTAATGTTGACAAGGTTCCTGTACTGTTAAACAGGAGCCCTTACTGTTGAAAGATAATAGGAACAGTTTCCTTGTCTCTTAAGATGTTCAGTGGCTAAGATTTAAAAACAACAGCAAACATGAGAACTCATTGTCACATGAATATTCATCATGGACCATCAACAGCACAAGTCACAATGGTAGGCAAGGAAAAGAATGCTTGACTTTCAAGATAATTGGCAAGGTTGACAAGTACCACAATAAATGAACTGGGAGTTTTTTTAGTGAATGTAGTTTTTTAACTGATTTTAATAATAAATGTACAAGATATACATTCCTCTGATACAGCCAGACATCATATGCTGTATGTATTACAGTAAATTTGAAGAAGTGATAATAAACAAATATTACAGATGGTACAGTCCATATCTCTAGGGTTTCTACTCATGACTATCCAAGAACAGAAGGTAGTAACAATCAATAACATTTACCATTGATGAGCTGCCCACGAGTTACACAAAGAATATTTTTTTCTGATTTTCAAAATTGTTTGGAAAAAATAAACATGGAGAATTACAACATTTCAGAGTTTTAAGTTGGTCAATACTTTAAAAAACAACCATAACATTAAGTGTGAAATATAATGTTAAAAGAACCTAATGGAGTGAGGAAATCCTGTGAGAGCAACACCATCCTATGTTCTGCAGGACAAAATTAAATAATTCAGCCCTAAATTGTCCCATGACATTCCCAGCTTCCAAAATGCCAGTGTAAACTTATGCCTTTGTTATATTCAGTTAATAGTTCAGACAGTAGATTGAGTATTATCATTGTGAGGAGGGCCAGAACTAGTCTAGGTACAGAATGAGTTATAAGTCGCTGTAATGAGAATAAGTATTTTATACCTGCACTTGGCTGAACTGTTTTGGTAACACTGACTTTAACACACTGGGTGCAATAGTGAGTTGAATTTCTACTAAACCGCAAGCTGTTAACTCACTATCGCACCCACAATGTTAAAACTTGTGTTGCAACATGTAAAAATAATTATCTCGGTAAAGTGACTTCTGACGCACCCTATATGGTATAAACTAATCAATTTGTCAACATGTTTTATATATAACTCTTGAGCCAACACACACTCTAAACATTAAATCTTTCTTCATATCAACAATGTTCAATAATTTGTGACCCTAAACTATGTTACCGTTCCATTCTCCGGTACGTGCTACAAAAAATGGTAATTGGAGTCACATAACGCCTGTACAGCACATCGTTAAACAAAACATCCGATCCCCCCCCCAAGGCCATCCTCTTCGTACTTGATACAGTACGTATATTAATTAGGCCTAGTATAAAAAGCATTTCATGAGGTACAGTACATCAATAATAATAATTAGTTTTCTCATAAACATTTTGAAACTTACTTTACAAAATACATATACTCGCAGATATTCATTAAAACAGCTACACACACATAATACACAGCTTAAAAAGTTATAGTCTCGGTGATGATAAAGCTTTTGTTCGGACGTTCTGAAGTACAGTAGATGAAAACACAAATTATACATTTAAAGGTTATGCCATAAAGCTCCAAAAAATTATTGTCATACTTATTACCACAAATAATGAAGACAGAGCAACATTCAAATATAAAGTTAGAAAATGGTATGGCTTATTTGTTATGTGCTGAAGAAATTATTTTCATAAAGCATGACCACAAATAATGAAGACAGAACTACAATTATATAAAAAATGAGTTAGAAAATTTGTATCGCTAATTAGTTACCATAATGTGTTGAAGAAATTATCATTGCAGCTGCTTAAAATTCTTCTTCTTTTTTTTTAATGGATAATTTAATATGGACTCACCCATATGGAACACCTAATCAATCATAGGGATTTTCTCATTTTTTTCTTGTACCTGTTGTCAGCAAATGGACACTGCTGTTTACTAAATCACAAAACCATGATCAAATTTTTTTTCAACAATCTATCAACATTTTTTACAGCTAAGTACTGTACTTATTATCAGAAAGTTTTAAAATCAAATGAAGCTTTGTGCCTTTTATCATTTACAGCAAGATTAAAATTCACAGTTGGATTACAGGCATTCTAGTTCTCAACCCCCTTGAATACCATGACTTAACCCTTTGAATACTCTGAGTTTAAACCCCTCAGTACTCAAGCAGTTATGTCATCATACTCAAGGGTTTATGTCATCGTAGTTGAGGAGTTAAGACTTGTCAAACTACAAAAATACAAGTGAAGGCGGAGTCTAAAGGATGTGGCAGATGCTCTTCTCTCGGAATGGGTTGGCCCTGGGGTTCCTCGCTGGGTGGCATAGATAGTCGTCCTTCTGGTGTTCTCGCACATACTCCTGTTATATAGTCATAATATTACTACATACTATAATACTATTGCAAAATAATATTACTAGTACAACATAATATCATATCACTACTATAAAGCTACAATAACTACTATATTACCACTACAGTACAACCTATTATTACCTGTACTATATGACACCACTACAACATGCTATACTCTATAACTACGGTACTATAATACCACAACATACAATTATATTTACTTCATACACCTAAGCACTTCACGATTGAATAAAATATGGAAATGAATTTCATCAGACACTCCTATAACAAGGTCTAACATTACAAACAACAATAACTAAAAGAAAATTACCATTGCATTAATTATTGTTATATTATAATACAAATATAGAACACCCAATCCTTAAATCTAATTGAGAATGAAGTGGATGATTTACGTTTCTACAGCATACTTAACCTACTGTGTCAAGAGCCTAGTGACAACCTTTTATCTGTGTCAAAAGCCTAGTGACACCCCTTCATCTGTGTCAAGACCCTAGTGACATCCCTTCACCTGTGTCAAAAGACAAGTGACACCTTTATAGTGGTTAATAGATGTTAAAGTTTTTCTCTTCAGTTAAAACAAGACCTTGGCCATACTGTAATGAAATCACATCCACACACTATGCGCCTCTTTTGTTTTAATAACATTGTCTATTTCTTCGGTAGATACTATAAAGGGTTATGGCTACACCCAGGGGAATGAGCCACTTGACCACTTCTAGCAATGATCAATGACCTGTGATGCAATACATCAAAGTGCACTACTTAAATATTAATCATCACACAGTTTGTGATTATAAATGTCACTTAAATTACTTTTTATGACATACAGTGATTGATGATCATTAACCTAAAATATCCACAAACTATTTCTTGAAACAGGAATTATCCCTTTGTAATAGAAAGCCACATGTCATTTGGCCCTAAATTTTCAATAGTTAACATCTAATACAATTTCCTGGGAAGATATTGTTAGCTACAGTCAGTCCTACGTATTACACAAGTCCTGTGGTCCTCAGCTGTGTATTAATAAGTCAGTTATAACTTCTTAAAACAAGACATCAAGTAAAGGTGTGTATCATGCTGTATTCAATGACTGGAAAATCATCAAGAACACTTCATGGATATTCACTATTAACCCTTGTCCTTTGAGAAATATTTTTGTTCATTCTTCTGTCCTGTGGCCCCAACACATACAATACTCTGCTCCAAACAACCTTCACACGTCATCCCTTCAACTGTATCCTCAAACATATCATTAAAGTGGTCCTTTCTTATGCCACTAACAGTCCGATATTAAACTGACTATATAAACTTACACCATCTAATTTACTTTATCAATAATTTTAATTCCTGAAAAATTAATTGCAATCTTCCATACTATTCATCTATAAGTACAGTACTATGCAATAATCCACAAGCACAAGCAAACCAATGCTAGGTAAGTATGGCCTACCAGCAGTGACCATCTTCATTAACTCTCTATATACAGCTACAGCACATACTATATACTGTACTGTATACAGTACATATTATCTCTCTGCCTTTTAGCACTCACCCACATAAATTCATTTAGCAGGATGCTTCCAATTTTGTGAAAAAAGAAGGGGGTAGGGGATCACTAGTTGACTATCCACTAAAATCTAATGAATTGATTCATATCTAGGTACTGTACAGTATACTGTATAGTAGTAGCACACTTGGTGTCGTAACAGTCCGAGCCATTTGACACTGTTACACTCTAAAAAGTGGTTTCTAATATGGAAACAGAGACTTAATTAAACAAGTAAATCAGCCCCTATATCTTTAAACAAACCTGCCACATTTATACCCATTCTTGAATTTAATTAAATCAATCACTAACAATATGAAATGAGTAAATAAAGGCAATACACTCAGCCAACACATTTGCTGCACTAACATCTTTTTTCACAGTAAGACCACACACATTACTGTACCTTCTGCCCCATATGTAGGAACAGTGCCATAAATATCACCTTCTCTATCAATACAATATTAGTCCAGCACAATGAAAAATAAATAAATATCAGTATACTGTGCAATAAGTAAGAAAAGCTCCAGCAAGTAATGCACCTAATTCTTGTTTAAGATATTCGAATCATGAAATCTGATAAATTTATCATTAATTTTTACAAAGTAACATGCAAGCACTGATATTAAAAGCACCTGAATACACAATGAAGGATTGTAGTAGAAAACTCCCATATGTGACTGAGGGGAAGAAATGAGTGACCTTTGAGATTCACGTCACTGATAAATCCTCTGGTCTAGCTTGTCTCATGTTGGAGGACCTTGACATACCTCAGGCAGGATACACTACCCAGAAATATAAGGAAGGATTAGGTTTTTGCTCCTAGCATTTTCTCACCCAAGTGTGTTAGTAAAAGATACCAAAACTTATAAGTTATCCCTCATGATAACTGTGGTGGAGAATCTCTAAAAACTTCCCAAGTTTCATTTACTGAAAGAAGAGAAGAAAATAATCCTTTCCACACAAGAAAGACAAAAGCAAAATATTATTTGGTAAATATTATATTATTTTGTGGGTTTCATGCCAGCCCAATTGGTTCCTCAGACTATAAGTCAACTACTGAATCAAATGGGATTAGAATTACTGATCCTTCCCTGGTTTGACTAGTTAAGAGGGTCCTGCTGGCAGCCAATGCATCATCTGCTCTTGTCCATATAAGATAGTGTTTCCTGCTGTTAAACATGTTAGGGCACTCTAGTATTAGTCAGGCTAAAACATGGGAGTCTTCAGTGGTATGGATCTCACCGTTCACTTACTGGTGCCATGTAGGTCATAACTAGGAGGAGAGGAAGCTACAAGTTCTCTATAGTAGATTGTTTATATTGTTCTGGAGGTGAAGACATTTCATAGGTTAACTTTTTGTTATTTACCAATAACATGGATAATGGAAAGTCCACAAATACCTACCGAATATTAGTCATGCCACTTCATAAGCTAAGTAGCAGCAGATGTATCAACAGGCTTTATCAATACATTTATCTACACATAATACATAAGCACTTTTTTTGTAATAAAAGAGTGGCCCATACACAATTAAAGTATAATTTTTACTACCATTCTTGTCCCCTTCCCCCAAAAGGCAATAATTCTTCATCTTTCATTTTTACATTCTCTATAACACACTTCTTGCTCATCTTCAACAACAGCTACTACTTAACAAATACCCTACACATGCTCCTCATGCAATACTCTACTACTTTTTCAAGCAATATGACTGAACCTGTAAAATACTTTGCCTTGATGCTCTTAATGTTGCTTATTAATCATATTTTTTATTAAACTTCGCCCAACAGTCCATTTTGTCCTCACACTTATCTATATTTAATAATTTTGTCACAAGTGTTCACAAACTGGAGATCCAATGAGCATTTTTTTCATATCTTGGCACACTTTCCTTAACAGCCTAAACACAATACCTGCACCTTGTTGTCTCTTGAGCATACAGTATATTTACCAGCTTGCTTTTGAAAATACTGTACCCAGTTATTACACTTTACACTATTCAATTATTATTTAGTTTTGAACAACTGTGGAAGTATTCTATCAATCTACAGTATGTAGTATGTAAGACAACACCAAATTGTTTGATTAGTGGCTCTGAGTCTCATGATTGTAGATATGAACTTGGGGTGATGATAGCATCTTACATGAAAGGGCCTCTGCCACACATACCCCATCCCACTCATGTGTCTGAGACAAAATCCACATCCCAAGATGCATTGGCTTCCATCTCCAGGACAGATGAATTTTAATCAACATCACTCATGTACAGATACATGCACAAATGCAAACATGTATTTGTGTACATGCACACACACACAATTTATGTAATAAGGAAATAGAGCAAGACTGTGGTGAGTGTGGGACTTGAGAATAGTGTTTGTGGCTAATGTATTTGGAGTTCCCCAGTGATATCTGTGTTTACAAGGCAGACATTGCAATTTCTTACTGTACAGTACAGTAACACTCTTTTGTATAATAAGAGACCCAATAATAAATCCAGGTGAAAGGAACTGTTGAAATCAAGAGAAAATATGGTGAAGGAATATACAGTATTTGCCATGTTAAACTGTGGGCCAGATGAGCAGTAATGCTTGGTGTGGGTGTGTGTTTATGTGTACAGAATTCAATCATTAAGCAAGTATATATCTTTACAGAGGGCAAATGTGTGTGAGAGTGGGATGGCATTATGAAGAAGACTGGAGAGACGGTCACCACCTGTACAATTTAGAGAGGCTGCCCGAGTTTCATGTAGGTAAAGTACACGACACATACTAAATATAAATTACATGAGTATACTGTATGTACATAACCACAAAGAGCCGATACACCACATTGATCATGTCACTTATGGCACCAGACACAGTTGTCAAGCATGTCAGATCACAAATAGACAATAACCAATGACAAACTAACTGAAGCAACTGGAAAACTATCATTATTCAAGCTGCAGGAGGAAAATGAGATGTGAAGCAAATGTGACTGTAATTTTCAGACAATATATGAAGTTAAGGCCAAAATTTTAAACAATATCATGATAGGATCCCTGGTGGGTAAATGACAGGTCTAACTGAGAAAAAATGGGTTAAAACAGCACAAAAAATGATTCAAGCAACAAAAGCCTTAAAAAATAAAAAATCCACACAGAAAGGGCCACTGGATCCATCATATACCCAGAGTAAGTCATTCACTAACACTAATAAGTAACTGTGATCTAACATGATAATCACTACAAAAAATAGGGGTTGTTGAGCTGGAAAGACAGTTAAGTATATATACACTCTATTGTATATATAACAAAAGAAAGAAGAAAAAATAAGAGAGTTATGTGAGTTTTGGGTAGCAAGTGTCGGTGCTTACACATTACAGGACGGTGCAGGAGCTCTTCTCACGGAATGGGTTGGCCTTCTGAGAGGTGAAGCCGACCAGAAGGTAGTCCTCAGCCTCGTGTTCCGAGATGTACCTCTGTCGCAATAAGCACAGGGGCATCAGCGGAAGGTCACACACACACACACACGCACCCAAGGTCATCTTCTCTCCAGATTATGTGTTTCATTATGCTGTCAACTGTTTTAATGTTGATGTGCACGGAAAGTATTTAGAAAAGAAATACTTACCCCTCTTAAGACTACAGAATACAGTCGTACTTATATATAGTGTGAAAATCAGCAGTCAATTAGGTAAATAGGAATGAGTTTGAGAACACTAAAGTGGTAATAATATTATCACTTACAAAAAACAAAGTACAGTACTGGTATTACCTAACATTAATTATTCCTTCATGAATGTAAATTTGCATGGATAATGGTATGTGCATAATCATGTACATGTAGAGGAGGTATTTTATGTGTATGTATACAGTGTGTACAGTCACAATCCAAAATTTGTATCCAGGCCTCATCGTAGCCGGGTTCCAGAAAAGCAGGGCGACCAAACACCGGCCCCTCCCTCTCCCATGACAGTTGGAGTGGTAGTTCAGTGAGTTGCTAGACGATATAAGATTAATGATGGGAGTTGTTATTTAAGTTTATGAGTTTCAGGATGGGAAAGAGACGCAGTCAGTTCGTGTGCGTGCACTGTGCTGGTGTCCCCAAGGATTTGTTATGATAGTGGTACATCATTTTTGATTTATGGATTGTACTGTATTAATGTTGCTAAAAACTCTGTAACCCATTATTATGTTCATCACAGATTATGTATTCTCTGTTAACCTTAACACTATTACATAAAAAATAACACAATTGATAAAATGACAGGATACAGATGAAAACAACATCAGACAAAAATGGACAGGAAATAAACATAGGGTGTGTGTTTGGGGTGTATAGGGATGTGTGGTAAGGGAGAGTAGTAGTGGTTGATTGATGGTGAGTGATAGTGGTGGTCAGTGATGTTTGTGATAATCTACAGCAGTGGTAATGGATGGGTGCTGGTGGATAATATTTAGGATGGGATAGTAGTTAAGGACAGCGGTAGTGGGTGGCAGTGATGGTGATAATTATAACGAGATGAGTTACATTATTAGCTCTGTCATGCCACAGTTGTGACATCATTAAATCTTAGAGAATAAGTGAAAATATTTAATTTGCTGGGAAATTAGCAGATGAAATCTTATAGAATTTTTGAGCCACAATATTTTATGTAACTACAGTACAGTAAATAGGAAGGAAGGTGCAATCACAGTGACAAATATTGAATTTTTCACTACATAACATTATCCAGTATTTCACCATACAACGGTTAATACCTCGTCTCATCCCCCTATGTTTTGCAGCCTGCTACAACTCTGTGGATGCTGCCAGATCCCCTCCCACACCTCATTCACCTTGTTCTCATTGGCCTCCCAAATCTTCTCCACCGCCCATTCCTGCTCCATTAATCTTCATGTTTTAAATTTACTTTATACTGTATTCAGTTCCCTTATTTTAGGTCCTGCATGAAGCACTTTAGTTAATCACAGTACTGTAGTTATGTTACTGTACAGTACAGTATAATGTGTGCAGCCCGGTAGCACTTGTAATAACATAACAAACATGGACTTGACAACAACGATAATCATGGCCATGGTTTGAATTGAGGTCTGTATTGCCAGGAAACTCATTAAATACCACTCCAACTATCATTAGTGGGAGGAGGGGGTGATGTTCAGTCAGCCAGCCCTTCTGGATCCCCGGCTACAGGTTTTAGATTGTGACTGTACACAGATGTATGTTGTACAGTATACATTCACAGTAAACACAGCAACACACTACCTAACTATAATCTATATTACCTGAACACATCTCCAGCAAACACACAATACACATCACTAAATATCTGCACAGTCTCACACTCACTCTACTGTATCATCCACCAGACATACATACATACATACATACATACATACATACATACATACACACATACACACACACATACACACACTGACAGACAAACCATCCATGTGTAACAGATTCTTTCTAAGTACTGTAAAGTCTGTATCAGGTATTATAAATCATCCCGGGTATGACAATAGTACTGAATCCAATTAATTACAAGACTAGATTTAACATACTGTACCTGTATTGAGACATAGACAACTGTTTGTTATTCCAGCTAGAGTAAAAACTAAATACTATTCAATTATCGAGAAAACAAAAACAAACTGTTATAGTGTCGCCACAAAACTTGCATTCTAATGTGATTCACCGTTGTCATTTATAAAGATGTTCACTCTCGCTACCGACGTGTTTCTCCCCATGTTCTGATAACCATGAAAGGTATTAACCATGAATTATTTGTTTTTTCTTAAGGTTCTCTGTTTAATGTTCCAAAAAAAATCTGAAGGGTTTAGTTCCCTCCAGGTTGGCAAGCATGCACTAGTCATGCACATGCAGGAACATAACCTACACTCATATCACCTAGTGAGACATTTACCAATACTGTACTATAGATACTGCTACTAAGCTCAAGTATACTGTTATAACTTCAAGAAAACCCTCATAGGTCTTTTAAACCATACGTTAGGATGATCAGGTAACAGTAGGACAATTTATAAAACACACTGAATGGGAACTAAATAGATCCCCAGCACCGCCCTCAGGAATGAGGCAGTCTGTTGACTTACTGGGCTAACTTTGTCCTCCATACCTAAGAAATATTTACACAAAGTTTGTTTTTTAACCCAACTGCCAAAAACTAAGGTACTGTATTAGGTCAGGCGTATTTTTGACGGAAATTGATATTTTTTTGGGGGGAAGTGAAAACTAACGTGTTTATATAGTAGAGAGTCAACTTGTTTATAATGGATATTTAAGACAGAAAGGTGGAGGAACAGGTGCGACAGATGGCCGGCTGGACATAAAGTGCTTAAAATGAATGTTTGGAGGGCGAGTTGAACACTTATTCTGCCTCACACTAGATTCTAACCTTATGTTTACGTCACGAGGGCTGATGTTTGTAACATTCCCTAGGTGTTTGTGTTATGGCTAAATACCGTCTACGATGACCAGGCAACACATATCATCAACACATCTTCAGACACTGCATGCACACCACCTCCATCCCACTGTGGGTAAACGGCATATGCACGAGACAAAGATGTATACACAGGGTCTAATTCAGGAGCGGAGGATATTGTCTACATTTGTACCTTCAGATGATTGATTGCCTCCGAGGTTTTCATGCGATCTATATTGGCCTCTCGCTGCAGTTGCTCCACCAGGACACGTAGCTGTTGGTGACTTGACATCTGTACAATAATAAAAAATATATAGAGTATATATCCAAAAACAGATAATAAAGACTTTTTACCTTACAATAACATTACTTTACAACCTTCATATATATATATACTGTACTAAATATGTATCTGTTCATTAATCACATCATCCCATCCTCATGTCTTTAACATCACCATCCTCACTCACAATAAGACAAATGACTAACAGTACAGGAAAATACAACAACCATCACTACTGTACTTACATGTCTGCTGTACAACATGATGGAGGCAAGTTGTTGGCAACACACCAAATACTGACACTTTAAGCAGATTAATAAAATTATGTACAATGTGTCCAATCAGGTTCACTGTGTTTACACTTAGATGAATGTACTGGATTCAAACGTTCCAAACCATACTTCTTTCTGCTGAATAATTACTGTACAGGGGCTGGATGCTTTCATAAGAGTAGGTATGCGATGAGGCAGAGGACAGATAATTTCTTGATACATTTCTATTCATATTCACACTAAGGCACAACCATACAACTACTCCACACTCTTATTATGGCACCTCGAGTACCTGTATGTCACCAACCCCGAGTACAAGCAGGGATGTGTTCCAGAAAAAAGTGACTTACAGTATAGTGAAACGTTTTATAATGAGGAATTTTTCCCCATAAGAATTCACAAAAACCAGAGAATCAAAAGCACTGGTACCAAGTTTGTCCTCAATCCCAAGGCGTCTATCACAGTAGCTTAAATCTAGAGGTGACTGCTCATTTGTCCACAATCTAGTTCATATTTACGTAATTATTAATTGGCTAGTTTCACACAAACACACACACTCATACAAAAATCAAGTACATTACAATATCCACAAGGATATTAACACATCCACTGGGACAAACCACAAAAGCGTACATAACAACATTTTTTGGATAACACGTATTTACGAACACAAACATTTCAGAGGGAGGGAAAATTCCACTTTAAGTCACAGTGAATGTTCTGATATCATGACATAAACCATTCAGAAAAAATTTAATAAAAAACATTGCACAAACTATAAGTGTCCAGAATATTTATGTCTACAGTACTATACTTGTGGCACTAACTAGCACTTTATAATAACTCTGGCCTCCACCCCACACACCACCACCGTCACTCACTACCACTGCCTCACCACTGACCCGTCAGTCAAGTGGGGCAGACCATCCTCCTGCCCCTCTTGTGTAGCAATTGACAGGAAGACGAACTCCCCAGCATGCCTACTGAGCCCACCAAACTCTACACACTTCAATAACTTCATTTCAATTCACTACACACTTAAACTCAATTATATATTAACCAACTTCCTATACAAGGTGTCTTAAATTATTTTTTTACACACTGCCTAAACAGATACTCACAGCAATCACTGTCCGCACCTGCCAATGTGAGACTCATATCAAGAAGTGAGGACAATGTTGCTGTTTTAGTAGAACAATCATTCACACAATCTCCACAAAAACTCTGTAAGGCAGCGTGAATATAGAGCTTTTCTGGAACACAGCGTATTTACTCTACCACTAATTTAATTTCATATTTATAACAACTATAATGGTGGATAGAGGGGGAGAAGAGGAGGGAGGAAGGAAAGGGAGAGGAGGGAGGGAGAGGAGGGAGGAAGAGGATGGAGGAGGGGTGAGGGAAGGGCCAGCATGCTTCCTGTGGGAAGTTCTTAATAAACCTTTCGTCGTGACATCCGGTATATCCAGGACACACATGCACTCAGACAGACAGACAGACAGACAGACAGACACACATAAAATACATAACATAAACACAACAAACAACCATCAACTGGACATAACCACAACAAACTTAAATTTGTATGACAAATCACCATTCAGTGCCTTAAAGGGGAGGCTACCACTATTCCTCTCCCCACTACACCATTACCTCATCTCCCCACCAGCCATCACTTAACTACCCTTCCCTATACCACAAAACCAGTTCATCATTATTCTCAACCATCACTAATTTACTGTCACTTGTTATGTCTATCTGCATCTATCTATTTATCTATGTAATTTTTCTACCACCACCACCACCACTATCACCACCATCAGGCATAAACCAGTAATAGACCTCCCAGGAGCCACAAAACCAAGTAATTTTACAAGTTAGGAGGTGAAGTTAGTGACAAGTGCAAGTCACTGGTGTGGGAGTGGCTGTTGGGGAGGACAAGGTCAAACTCCTGTAGCTGGGGCCCTGACTTTAAAGATACCTATATCATATGTATTCTCTATGGATACTTGACAGTACATCTCGATATGGTAGAGTCTCAGAGCAAAATTGACCCCATCTTTGCTAGTTGAAGCAGTTTTATATACAGTATTTAACACTTGAATCTTTGAAAATATGGTCTTGGATTCTCTAGGGTTCGTAGGCTGTTATTTCCTCGTACGGGTAAACAGATGTGTATAAATGCACACAGTAACTAATTATAATAAAGAGCGAATATTTATGTCCAAATATGGCATGAAAATTATGCTGAGACTTGTACCTTATATACAAACATACACTGAACACTTGTAAGGGGGGGAATCAATGTGCTGTACTGGATAAACTGTCTGTAATGAATCTATATATTAGCTGTACCTATAACTGGTGCGAAGTGAATGTATCTAGTTAAGGTAGAGCGCTCAATGTAATTCTGATGACAGTTTATGAAATCAATGCTGCATTTTAACCCTTTGAGGATGATGATTTAACCCTTTGATGAAGATGATTTAAGTGAGAAATCAGTTAGACATGTATGTGGGCCTTCAGTCATGGGGTAAAATGAACCTGGGAGAACCTGGCTCGTTCGCCTGCCAGAGACTATCGCGGGGCCCTCGGTCACGGCACAGAGGTGAAGGAATATGAAACTTGCTGGGGATTTAGAGGGAGAAAAAAATAAATGGCATACAGAATAAATGAGAAGAAGAAGAGGGTGATAAGGAAGAGAGGAAGTAGAAGAAGATAAGGGAAAATAAGAAGAAAAAACAAATATAAGAAGGCAGAAGAACAAAGATACTGGACACGAAGAACCAGAGTGAACACACAACTCTGCTCAAGGCACAAAGAGACAACACGGGAACAGTACTTCACTCGGGCCAAAAGTGTCAATACTAATACTAATAATCAATCACGGCATCAGAGAATAAAGCACGAGTTGTCCCTATACATATACAGTATATATATATGAAGGCTTATGTATGCAAATAAAATAATAGTGAAAAATGGTTAAAAGCTACAACCAACTCCCCTCAAAATGAACAAGTCATATTTACCTCTGGGAAGATCAACCTGACACATCTGGCCCTACTGCTGGCTATGCTAATTACCCCGCATGGTGAGGGGGTGGGGGAGGAAGGGGAGAGAGGGAGGTGGAGATGGAGGGGAGGTAGTGAAAGGGAGGGGGAGGAAGGGAGGGTAGAGGTGAAGGAGGAAGGGAGGCAGAGGTACACACAAACACCAGCTTAAGTAATATAATGCACCAATATTATCCTTAACAAACATTTAATACAACTCACAGTAATATTATCTACATCCACTACACTCAAACAATTGTACTCATGCCAACACTTAAATAATAATAATAATAATAACAGTAAAAATGCTCACAATAAATACTATAATAAAAAACAAAAACGACAATAACCAGTAATAATTTTGTGTAATTAATTGAAGAGACAGACAGACACAGATTCTCAAATGTTCCTCAACTCACAATCAAGATGACAACTAACATGGCAGCTACATTACCCCAAAAGCCCTACATAAGTGAACCTATTTACCAGAATCAAATGGTAAAAAAAAAGCTTATGGACATTTCAGAATCTTGGTCCAAATAAACACATGACTATATCAATTGTTTTAGTGCCAAGGCCTCATTAGTGGTTGTTTGTGCAGGTGAGAAACACGAAGGTAGACAAGAACAGGATTAAAAAAAAAAAAAAAAAAAAATTCACATAAACCAAACACTTGAAGACCATCCTTATAATGACCTGTTTGGAGGCGAATAAATAATAAACAAAGACAAATATGAAAAGAGATAAACAATGACTAAACTCACCATAAAAAAGCACACATTGCAAACAAAGAATAGAGGTATACAAGATAAACAAATATATATTGGGGGAGATTGTAACGTGTTGGAAGCTGATGGTGAGTACAGTATACAGGGTTATGGCTTTACCCTGGTTCATGTAGCACACACACATGTAAACACAAAAAGTACACATACATGGATATACGTAATCACATAAGCAATGCAAACATACACACATAAACTCCCTCCCTCCCTCCATGCAATCAATCCTTTCTTCTTTCATTCATTCCTCCACATTCCTCTCTCCTTCCCTCACTCTCACCCACTTCCTCTCTTCTTCCTTCCTTCATTCCCTTTCTTCCCCTCACTCACTCTTTACATCATCCATTGTCTCTCTCTCTCTCTCTCTCTCACTCACCTGATCCATCATGATGTTGTTTAGCGTGAACTCCACTGCGGTTCGCACAATCTTGCTGGTGGGGGTGGACGGTGTTTGCCAAAGAATGGTGAGCAGTACCCTGTAGGTGTGGGGAGGACGGGGGTCATACACGGTACACACAGCAAATCCCTCGATATCACGGACTTTTCTCTCCGTATAGTCCGTTAGGAGGAGGGTTTCACATCTATCGGACCCTCGATAGAGCGGAATACCCTCTCCATATAGTTCCGTTATATAGAAGTTTCACTGTAACCCAGCTGCAGTATATAGCATATGAACCAGCAGTAAATTATGATGTATGATATACTCCCACTCACATGATACAGGGAGGAGAGATGGAGGGGGGATGTGTTGAGAGGTGAGAGGGAAAGGAGTGTGAGGTATAAGGGGTGACAGGTGGAAGGTGAGTACGGATAAGTATATAATAAATTAATACATGACTACCCCTGTATGTGCATTCTGTACATTATGTATGGATGTTGCTCTGTGTTTACCTGTATGCATTTACAGCATATACAGTATATTTGTATGTTTGTGTATATTCAGTATGCATGAATCACCTGAGGCAAACATGTCCAGGACAGATGGACCAGGAAAATTGTTTAACCCATATGGTATTTCACACTTGTCCTCTTCATTACTGATAACACGTAATCATAACAGCTCACTGTCACCAAAATGCATCAGATACGTGATAAAACTGTCAATCTACACTACAGTATACTGTATTATTTAACATAAAGCTAGTAAAAACCTGATCCATTTTTATTATGGTAAAAAATTCGCTTGACTGTGATAATTTGTTTACTTGCTTAATTGTGGCATGAAAATTATGTCAGAAATTTTGCATTCAGGTGTGAGGGCCACCAGGACTTATTTTCTGTGAACACAAATTCCGTGGCGAATAAAAAAGAACAGCAGTACTGTATAGTAGCCAAACCTAACCTAACCAACCAATAGGAATAAAGAAAACTACAGTATAGCCAGTACTTGACAACACTGCATAAGTGAAAAATGACCGATCAGTCGACCACCCATCCATGGTTAAGTTAGGCTGTGTAATGTTTTAAGTGCTTCAAACACCCAAGGTTACTACTGTGCATAATTTCACCACTCAGTATACAGTACAGTATAGAACATAAGAAACTGCAAGACAAGGATGTCCCACTTTGCACTTTGGCAAAGTTCTTGAAAAATATGGATAACGGTAACACAATACTGTACTGTATGACGTTTGCACATTTGTGGTGAGGCTTACAAAAAAAAAAAAAAGAGGAAGGTGGTGAGGTGTGATTGAGTAATGAGATTTAGAGGAAGGAAGGATCTGGTGACTGACACGGGCCACTACTGAAGAATTCCGCTCCTTCCCCACCTCTCCATAACACACACTCTTACAAGTATTCCTCACTATCACCACCGACCCCACAAATTCCGCAAAAGTCTATCTCTGGGAGCAAGAGAACTGGAAATGCCGTGCACAAACAAAGAAAGAGGACAGCGGCGAGAGATGTGAGGGTGAGTGAAGATGATGGTACCTGATGTGACTGGTGGAGGCGGGGCCCAGTGAGCAGACAGCGCCCAGGACCCACGCGGTCCTCCCATCCTCCGCCTGGCTAGTCAACTACTTCCTCGCACAGACACACACCTGCCACCAATGCACGATCCTAACCTGCCACCCGTAAGAAATGTGTAGCGGCGCGCATTATGGAAAAATTACCTCTCACCTTCAGGTGCATCTATTGATCCTTAGATAATTATACGCTGCTGTTGCTGCTAGCTTTGGAGCCATTCCTGGGTTATCCACAGAGACCATGCTGGGCAACTCTCACTTGGGGTATTCCAGGGATATAAGGTTTTTTATTTTAGTGATAACATCTGGACCTTAATTAAAACTTAAGACAAATTCGTAAACAATCTGGCCCACAGGTTGTGACCTTTTGGATGACAGCACTTGCCTGTAGGTGCATTTGCTTCACAGCACTGTATTTTGCAGTCCTACTACCTAATTATCTAACACAGTGACCTATTTGACATCAAATGACCCATTTTGCTGTCAATGTCATTTATTTTGCTGTGTGACCTATTTTGTTGTCACGGTGACCCATCTACAAAAGAGTGGTTATATGTGTCACCAACTAGCCAGGCTCACCCTTACTGCCCTCACCACCTCTGATGCTATGAGGAGTCTTACATTTATGTCAGTGTTTATGTAAGGAAGAGTTACCCAACTAGCCTGGCAGGGGCATTTTCCTGCATTGTGATGAGGTGCACAGATTATGTGATTATGCAAGCATAAATATAAACTTAACCACTTCAGTGCATCCTTAAGAATCGATTTAGGTGTTGGGTTGAAAGGTGAAAAGGTGGATCACATGAAGATTAGCCCCCCTCTTTGAAGCACATGAAAAAAAAATTACATCCATCATTCCCTTCATTTGTTCATCAATTTCCCTGCTTTCTTCAATCCTCCTCCTCTCTGATGAGAAATTTGTGTCATATACCACCCTCCCACACCCTTCCCCCTCTCCATCACACGTGACTTACCATGCAATAAGGGCCCAGCCAGGCACAGGGGTTAGGTGGTGGAGTGGATGATTACTTTTGGTTGCGACTATACATATGAACATCATTCATAATGGACAAATGGCAGTGAAGGAAACACGACTAAGAGACGACGCTTTGCTCCAGACGTCAGGCACAAAGCTCCATCTCTTAATAGTGTTTCCTTCACTACCAGACAATAATATACTGTACAGCATATTCAATTTTATCCCTATTTTACTGAAGGTGGAAATTAAAATATAGTTCCTCAATATTAAAAAATAGTCTTGAAATATTACTCACTTTGCTATACAGTATGTAGCAGAGGCACTAGCGGTGTAAGGCGACCTGTAAAAGAGAAATTTGTCTCTTAACATAAATTTAAAATGGTATGGATCACCTCAAGATTTGCCTCCCAGCTTACAGTATTTTAATTTAGGAACTTAAGATTAATCACCTTAATGTTAACCTAACACCTTGAAGAAGCATTAGGGTGGTTAATCTTGGTGTAAAATAAGCTGGGAGATGAGTTTTCAGGCCATTGAAATATTCAGCACTGTGCCACTATCAATTGTTCCCTAGTAAGTATAGTCTTCAAATAGATGCTGGAGGACAGAGAAAGTGTTACAGCACTGTATTCCACCAAGACAAAGTTCACATCAGTTCTTACATGCGTTAAATGTAGGGTAAAACTTTCCCATTAAGAATTTTGTTTCTAGACAATTTGTTACTTGAAACAACTCTTAGTTAACAGAGCTGGTGTAAAAATTTTGAATTATTACTTTGAAATTACCTAAGAAATGCCTCTGATAATAACCAATTCTAAACTACAATACTGTATGTTTGATTATAGCAGAAATGAACCACTGGGTGATAAATACTCAAGTGTGGCAGTACAGTTCTCAGTATTTGTTCCTATTAAAGTCACACAAGAGTTCAGTGGTGGTTTTTGTTAATTGGGTAATGCAGTGAAGGCACAGAGACCATGGCCTACTTGCTGTTTCCCAAGTGTACATTACTGTACAGGTATAGTACTTTTAATTATAATTCTATGAACAAAATCCCTATAACAGTTAGTTTACTGTTGTGAAGGACTGTACAGTACTACTGTATTACCCAATATTACTTTCATCTTTTTATTTCTAATATAAATATATCATTTGGAACATAATGCTACATTCACAGGTAAATTATCCTGGGCAAACCATTTATAAGACAAATTCAACCAACCAGATTTAACTTAACCCACCTACAGTAGCTTGGACTACTGTAAGTTCTTCTGTGTCTATTGTTATTAATGTGCCCCCAGGGTGTCCTTCCCAAATGTACCCTCAAAATAAGAATATAGATGTATTGTGGCTTTTCTTGCTTCAATGTATACTCGTATTTTTGCCATTCAGGACGACCCACCTGTGCACACCCAACTTTGCTTTTATCCTCTTCACCACTGATCGGCTCGTTATAGAACTGAAAGCTGGATCAGAATTAATAGTCAAGGAAAAAATATAGCAGTAAATATACAGAATGAAAAAAAAATGAGGAAACTGAAACCAAAATTGTGGAAATGATTAATACCTGAAAGTGATTTTTGTTATGGAAGTCAGTTTTTGTCAGCAGAGAAAATTACCAACTGAAGATGGTATTGTCTCAGCCCCTCTGAACGCTCGATCATTCTCCGCATCAGCCACTGTGTGACTTCACTGTATGACAACATATAGGATTGTTTAGGTTAGTTTATGATTGGTATGGTTAGGTTAGGTTTCTTTGGTATGGTTAGGTTAGGTTAGTTTCTTTGGTATGGTTAGGTTAGGTTAGGTTTCTTTGGTATGGTTAGGTTAGGTTAGTTTCTTTGGTATGAGAATATATATATTTATTTTTTTGCTGTTTTTTGTTTTACTCAAATCTGACTTTTTTTTTTTCGCGAATTGGCAGTTTGTTAAAGAAATGAAGGTCAGTTTTGAGTAATACTCAACAAAAACCCTTTACTCATACCAAACCCTGAGGACAGCCAATGGTTGAATATTTACCTACATTATATTAAATGTTAAGGAAGTTATGGCCGTGTAAATGTAGAAGTGAATGTCCGTCGAATTGTGTTCCCAAGAACTTTTTAATTCATATAGTAATACGGAAAAAAAATTGGTCTACTTTTCGATGACTTCACCGGGAGAAGACATTTAATGTTATAAGGCAAAATGCCATACAGCTCGTCGCTAAGACGCGCAATTAAGCTGTACTATAGCCCCCCCAAATAGTTAGAAGAATTGTAGATTTAAAGTCTCCGTACCTGGTAAAAAAAAGGTATTTTAAACTCCACAAGAACCTCCACATTTAAAAGCCATCAAGAGCATCAACTTTGATCTCTTGCTAGTGAAGTATACATAAGACATGCATACGTAACAAGACCAGTAAGAGATATACTGCTGAGGGTGGAGCATAATGTGTAGTAACACTTACTAAATGGTTCACAGCGTCGTGGCCGAGTCTCCCTCCCTCAGCTTCAAGGTGTCCAAAATGTAAACACCTGCCAATAATATATGGCCTTTAAACTAATCTTATTCTTAATGTACATTGACACAACAATATCCTTGAGTAAATCCTAGATAAAAGTAACACTTAGTACGTACGGCATATATTTAAATAATCCTTCGAATATTTATACGAAAATAATTCTGTTGTAAGTTTTAGAAGATTGTGATCTACAATAGGTATTTATATTTCTTCTCACATATTAGTTAACAGCGACCAAATATATATAAGTGTTATTTTATAGGCAACATAATTTATACCAGGACAAGGCTAAAGATTTATCTAAACTAAACTTGATAAAAATTAACCTAGAGGTTTAGAAAATATATATATATATATATATATATATATATATATATATATATATATATATATATATATATATATATATATATATATATATATATATATATATATATATATATATATATAAAGATGCTATTCTAAACCTCTAGGTTAATTTTTATCAAGTTTAGTTTAGATAAATCTTTAGCCTTGTCCTGGTCTGATATGCGTACTCGCGTTTTTTATTTCGACTTTGCGTAGTGGTAACAAGCCTTTGGGATTGGCTTGACCTCGCTTGCAATCTGCCCCTGAACTCTTTTTCAGCCCTTCTACACTCTAACTTTGCTAGGTTCCTGGATTTGGCATACATTCTCCTGTCTTGTTCATCATTAATTTGTTCAAACCCACTTCTCGAAATCCTGAGTTTTCTTTTTAACTTTGACAACCGCCGCACTGGGTTTATATATTTATCGATCAAATGGTGAACTTAACTGGCTATGATATTTGGCGTAGTGTCTGCGTTCTTATATCTTAGTGAGTCAGGCCAGAACATACTCCTTATCTCCTCCCTCATTTGTCATTCTATACGTTACTGAAACGTCACCACAAAGTTAATAATGGGGAAATGTCATTTTAGAACGTTATCAAAATGTTACCACAAATTTAATAGGTAAAGTTTTTATTTTTTTTGTCTTCGCCACTGATTGGCTCGTTAGCCTCTTGAGCAGTCGGCTGACTTCTCTGATACGCACTATTGGCAAGTACTGGGCATGCACCGGCTCCTGAATATATCGGAACCTGTTGGGTTGTGACCCCTTAACGTCCGCCAGCTCCAGGTATGTACAGTGGCCAGAAAAGTTCTCCCACAGCCCTGTGTAGCACGTTTGTGGGAGGACTTTTGCTGGCAACTGTACATTTGGCCGAGTGGGTGCCCCCTGAGATACTCTTCGCCCGTCTGTAGTATAAGCTAGATAGTTGCAGGTGCCCCAATCTCTCTGAGTAACTGTTGGGTTGGCACCCTAACAGTAAATGAGATTCCGTAGAGCAGCGACGTTACCACAGAGTTCATTACATCACGTATACAGTATATGTTTCTACAAAAATAGAATAACGTTACAGCGGATTTATTATACCACATTTTCTGATGTAAGATTACACAACCAATATTTTAGGCTTCTTCACTACCCTATTTCCCATATGTATTGTTAGTGTATTACTTTTCCGCAACAATTATTTATTATGTAAAATTAAGGAAATAGTTGTTAGAAAATTTTGATTACAATGTAGTTACACAGATTATCATGCAAGTCTATAGACGGTATATCCATCGACCTTGGTGTGATCCTACCAAACATCTCGGCATGTTCCCCTAGGTACTCCGGTTTCATCCTGAACTAACATTGGAAAATAAAGTTCATAACAAAGTAACAAAGAACGAAGAAATCGCCAGAACGGCTCGTAAACTGATAAGAAGTGAAATGATAAATTATAATTTATCATACGCACACACATTCGAGGTTAGCCAGAAGACGATCATCAGCTGGCAGTTCTCACGTACCAATTCAATATTTCCTACGGGCAAGAAACTGCCCTTAACCGTATTAGTATGTTTACTTTCTGTGAAGAATTATCTCAAAGAAATGACTTATACACCACACACTGATTAGTTCAACATCTTACAATTTTCTAAAAGGCATAAGACACAATTTTTGTCATTTTCGGCCAAAAATAGATTTTGTTCAAAATCTCAGTATAGGTACTCCTGAACATGCTGATTAAGGATCTGTTAAGCAAAATTTGATATCTGCATTATCACTTATTCAAATGACTTGCAAAAGTAATTACCATTTTCTAAAACCCATTTGAACAAGTAATAATCCAGATATCAATGTTTTTTCTTAATATATTTAGTGTGCTTGATTGTTTCTGGAGTAGAATTTTAGTGATATTATATATATATATATATATATATATATATATATATATATATATATATATATATATATATATATATATATTAGTAGGGTCATTACCTAATACCTGACCATTGTGGACCTGGTCTCACCCTCCTCTGTATATATACACCTTGTTTTGTACTTCCCAAAAAAGTTCTGTCGCGAACCATGAACCCCGCGATTCAGACTCTTGAATCCGAAGCATTTATGGACAGAATAATGTATCAGTGTCTACTGCTTCGGGTTCACGAGTCTAAATCGTGGTTCGCGACAGGACTTTTTTGGGTGACTGTACCTCTCCCGGACAGTCAGGAAGAACCTTAAGAGGGAGGACAGACACTCGGCACGTCTCAGACTGATTACATTGTGATTGCTACATGGCCGCTCCCACGAATTTTATGAGGGGGAGGGGGGGGGGTTAGGTTAGGTTACGTTTTGTGTGCAGGTATTTACTTATATGTAATATGATGTTTATGATCATTTACTGTTAGTCAGTAGTTAAAAAATTTAAGTTATCGCTAATCGCCAATTATCCCTATTTATCATATCATACACAAACGCACATATTGTGTGTGTGTGTGTGTGTGTGTGAGAGAGAGAGAGAGAGAGAGAGAGAGAGAGAGATTCCACTTTTTATATTATAGTACAGTATTTCTTTCTCCCTTTTCATCGACGTATAATTTTAAGACTAATGTTTCTGTGTAAGCCATTCAGCGAGTCAGTGGCAAAATTGGCCTAATGAAACGGGAAATGGTGTGATTTCAAAGTATTCGAGAGGCAGTTTGAAGTGGTGGTTAAGTGAGATGAACAAAGATGCAGTCTGACGCGGTGACTTTGTTAAATGTGGAAGAGAGAGGCATTTAGTCAGTGATTATGTCGGACAAAAACGGAAGTCGAGGCAGCTTAAAGAGCTGGCTATATCAGTCGAAGCCCAGAGCAGTAGTCTGTCTGAGGTAGCGGCTCCATCGGCCACGAGTTCTCTGTGGTGTTATCTCGTGAAGTGTGGCAAGTATCCCGGACTCGGATATATTAGAGGTTAGCCACCCTCCTCTTCAACACTGTCTCATCCAGCATCCCACCATGATCACTGTGTCTAAAGGTAAGTGAGTATGTCTTCTGGCAAGTCAATCAGCTTTCAGGTGAGTCAGTCTGTCTCTAGGCGAGTCTGTCCCATGTTGAGTCACTCCCAACGGTAAGTCAGTCTGTCCCCATGTGGCTAAATCTGCCGATCCCCAGGTGAGTCTAACAGTACACAAAATCAGTCACCTATATAATCCTCCCTTTTGAGGTTCTAAACATTTATTCGTTAGTGTGCAGGACCAACGAAAAGCTGAGACAAACAACTGTAGTAGATAGAAAATGATTCTATAAAATACCGGTTTTCAGCTACAATGCGTACACACCTAAGTACAGATATCAACACACAACTAGCTTGCATAGTGTACAGTATACAGTATGTAAATAATGACATACTATTAAAAAGAGGAATATGGTTGTTACAGGAGTGAGGGCGGGTGTGTTGTGTGTGGTGATGGTGACCATTGCTGCGGCCTTCCACCCACCTGCTGTACCCCCACACAGTCTTCACCACGGTAAGTCCTCCGTTATTACACCTTCGTGTACGGACAAATTTGATGGATATTGCCTGTATAAAAAAATCGATGAATTTATACAAGAGCTAACAATAAAAAAATCTATTTTCTTATGAAACAAATTTTGTTACATGCAAAAACAAACATGGATACAGTGCAATCGCACATTCTTAGCTTAAGCAAAACAAATACTCATCACCACTGGTTAATACATGACATGCTCTGCATACTCAGAGGACGGAATTGGAGACTTCCCATGCCCAGAGGACACTGAAATCGAACCCTGCACCTGCACCTTTGACGGCGTCACTTTCGACCTTACCTGTAAAAATCTGGAGAGTGAAGACGTTCTGAAACACGTATTCACAGCTCACTTTCCCTTTACGCTATTTACTTCCTTTACCCTCATAGACTCCAACATAACAACGCTCGCCCCTGATATGTTCAGCCCTATAATTTTTCAGTGAGTGCTTCACCGTTTTAACTAATTTTATAAGTATTTTCATTAAGCTGTATTAGTGTTTAAATTAAAGAAGATTAGGCTGTTTAGATTAACATTTACTTTTACATTTATCCTCTTCGCCACTGATCGGTTCGTTTGCCGCTTGGGCGATCGGTCACGTCTCTGTTACGCACTGTTGGCAAGTACCGGACATGCACCGGCTCCTGAATGTACCTGAACCTGCTCCAGTGTTGGTCAAGTCTTGTCTTGAAAGAGCTCACACTCGGTGCCGTCACAACACTTTCTGGCATATTCTTCCAAGAGTTCACAACTCTAGTTCCGAAAAAGTTACCCCTCACAGTTTTTTTTGCACCCCCCTACATCCTGTGCAAGGTGAAGCGCAGAAGCGCCTACAGCGCCCAACTGGGAAGCATGCTAAGTTCATGCTTGCTTTTATGTCTCATGAGTTAAGGGCTTAGAAGCCTGAAGGGTCATAGTTTTTTTGTCAAGGGCGTAGAAACCTGAAGAGTCATAGGTTTTTGTCATCAAGTTATTGGAAGCTCCAACAACTTGACCCTGAATACGAATTCGCAACTTTTCGATTTACAACAGGTACCTACTTTACTGCTCGGTGAACAGGGACCAAGGGAGGCTAGGAAGTGTGTCCGAACAACTTTTCACCGGCCCGGGAATCGAACCCGTGACATCTCGCTTGCGAGGCAAGAGCGGTACCGCTCTACCACAGGCGCCCCCTCCTCATAGTTTTCTGGGCTTGCGGCTTCTTCAACCTTGACCTGTGACCCCTTGTAGGGCGAGCGTCCACCAGCTCCAGGTATGTACACTCGACTGAGTAGTGCCCTCTGAGATGTTTATACACTTCGATTAGGTCATCCCTTGCCTGTCTATATTATAAGCTAGGAAGATGCAGGCGCTCTAATCTCTCTGGGTAACTGAGGTGCCGTAGTGCAGGCACCAGTCTGGTGGCTCTCCTTTGGATCTTTTCAATCAACTGACAGTTTCTCGCATATCTCTGGGACCAGACGGGAACCCACGGGGTGACAGCACCTCATGCCTGAAGATCTTCTTATAAACATACTAGTTTAGTTGCTTGATTCACTTTCCTCTGACAATGGCCCGAGAACATCAGTTCATTGTCAACATACACACCCAGGTTCTCTTCACATTCGCTCTCTATTAATGCGGTTTCGTCGTCCCGTTGGTATGACCCAGGTCAATCATCTTACACTTCGTGACAGTGAATCTTAGCAGCCATTTCTTCGACCACTCAGAAGCTTAGTTACAGTATTACAGTATTCTATAAATAATGTCAAGAGTTTGTCCAAGACATTTTCTCGCCGTGGTAAAAGTGATTCATATTCACACAATATCAATATGGATGTATTATATCTCGTTTGTTTGTACCATCTCTATATTATTCTTTAATTTAAATCTGATTTATTTTAAAGTTATCCCACTCTCATAATCAGTGTTAATTGAGTTTGTGGATTCATCCCTTGCAGCCATCCCTAAGAACTTCCTAATGCTGTTGACGCATAATAAAGAAAAAATACGTCCTCTTCTTAAATAAGAATACGAATGTTCTGTGAAAATATCACTTTATTACCACACTTCTTTTCCTACTGTGTCCCTAATAACTTCAAGCTCCTTTGGTGGCAGAATATCTAATATTCTCCGTCTTACCTCCCGCAGGTTTCTCTTTATGCTTCTGAAATCTTTCCTGAAATACTTCACTGGTGGCCTGGCAAGGTCATCCGTGTCCTCGAGAATTTATAAGAATCTATTTAAGAGAGTATCTAAGTCACTTTCAATTTTACAGTAGCCTATTTATCCAATCAAAATTGCCAACGCGGTTTTATGCCGGGGCGCTCCTACTTAACACAATTGCTCAAGGTATTGGATATTTGAACCCATGTTCTGGAACGGGGTGGTAATATCGACAATATTTACCTAGATTTTGCCAAGGCTTTCGACAGTGTACCCCACGAAAAGCTGAAAATCAAACTGGAAGGGTACGGAATTCGGGGAAATGTCCTCGCGTGGATAGAAGACTTTTTACATGACCGCAAGCAGTGTGTGGTGATTAATGGTACGAAATCATCATCTGTACCTGTCACAAGCGGGGTACCACAGGGCAGTGTATTGGGCCCGTTGTTATTTGTTTCATAAATGACATGCCTGACGTTGTACACTCCTCCATACAAAAGTTTGCGGATGACGCCAAGTTATTTCGGGAAATTAAGAACTAAACGGATTGTGAAGAGCTGCAGAAGGACCTCTGTGGGCTCCAAGAATGGTCGAAGAAATGGCTGCTGAGATTCAATGTCATGAAGTGTGAGAGGATGCACCTGGGGCGTACCAACGGTAAGGAGGCGTATTATATGTCCCAACGGGATGAAGAAACTGCACTATTTGAGACCGAATGTGAGAAGGACCTAGGTGTGTATGTTGACAATGAGCTGAAGTTCTCGGGCCATTGCGAGAAGGTAAATTGGGCAAATAAATTATTGGGTCTTATAAGAACGTCGTTCAGATATCTAGACGGTCCGTCCCTCGTAACGATCTTCAAGAGTGAAGTGCTTCCCCATCTGGAGTACTGTCACCCCATCTGGTCCCCGAGATATGCTAGGGACTGTCAGTTGGTTGAAAATGTTCAAAGGAGGGCCACCAGACTGGTGCCTGCACTTCGGCACCTCAGCTACCCTGAGAGATTGGAGCGCCTGAACTTGCCTAGCTTATACTACAGACGGGCAAGGGGGGACCTAGTTGAGGTGTATAAGCATCTCAGGGGGCACTACTCAGTCGAGTGTCCTTATTTGGAGCTGGCGGAAACTCGCCCCACAAGGGGTACAGCTCAAGATTGAAGAAGCCGCAGGTCCAGAAAACTGTGAGGGCAAACTTTTTCGGAGTGAGAGTTTTGAACTCTTGGAACAATTTACCAGAAAGTGTTGTGACGGCACCGAGCGTGAGCTCTTTCAAGACCAGACTTGACCAACAATGGAGCAGGTTCAGGTACATTCAGGAGCCGGTGCATGCCCAGTACTTGCCAACAGTGCGTAACAGAGACGTGACCGATCGCCCAAGCGGTTAACGAACCGATTAGTGGTGAAGAGGATAAAAGTAATAGATAACTAGTCCATGCCAACAGTACCTAACAGAGACGTAACCGACCTCCCAGCAGCTAACACGCCGATCAGTGGCGAAGAGGATAAAATAAAATAAAGTATATTTAAGTAAAATAATTGCTATATCTTACAACCATAATAAAAAAGGTAAAGAAGTCGTTCCTTTTCATTTATCAAAACTAAGAAATGGACGTAAATAAACAGTTCATTAATGAGTTTAAATGTGGGACTTAAATGCGGGAATTAAATGTCCTTGAATGAGTTTTAGGTGTTCCCGTAGTATTAAAAAGAACAACCGGGGGCCTGGGGCGAAAGATAATAATAATAATAATAATAATAATAATAATAATAATAATAATAATAATAATAAATGCAAAAGAAAAGAAGAGATAAATAGTGAGATTTTTATTTTTTATTTTTATTTTATTATTTTTTTTTTTTTTGCGGACATAAGCCCACCTGGGCACATGTCATTTTTAATGACCCACGTCAAGACCTGGGGGTGGGGGCGAAAATATAATAAAATAATAATAGTAATAAAATTAATAAAAATATATAAAAATAAATAACAATTATATTAAAAAATAATAATAATAGTAAAAATTAAAATAAAATATCTAAATAATAATAATAATAATAATAATAATAATAATCATAATAATAATAATAATAATAAAGAGCCATGAATATAAACAAAATATCAAGAGTGAGAAACAATATATGTATGTTGTGTTGTCAATAGTAAGAGAAACAATTGAGACCCTGCAATTGTGTGTAAATGAGGCAGAAAGTCAGGTCATCAACCTGGGACTTGGTCACATATGGCAGCAGGGTCTACCATTAGACAACACATTATGCTCCAATATCTTCCCAGGCGGTAGTACCTCCCTGTAAGGTAGCTGCCTCCTACCTATTAAATGGATAATAATAAAAATAATAATATGGATATATATATATATATAGGCCATTTGCGAGGGTAACGTCATAGATGAAGTGTATTGATTGCAAAGATAAAATTCTCGAGATTCGGTTGATGGCAATACTCAAAGATTTATAAGAGTCTTTGGCAATACTACTACAGTACTACTTCTACGACTACTAACTATGTATAGAATAATTATCATGAACTGTACCTGGTAATTAATTCAGAACAGTTATATTAAAGAAAGTAAAAGTATTATATATAGAAATTTTAATAAAAGGTTCGCATAATGGAACTTAAGTAAGTTTTTGTTAAATTAATTTTACATTAATAATTATTAGCCAAAATTGATAATAAATGAATTTCAGGATTATTAGGAGCCCTAGTATAATGGTTTGGTTAGGTTAGGTTAGAATAGGTTAGGTTAGGTCACAATAAATCAAGTTGGATTTGGTTAGGTTAGGCTATATAAGATTTGGATAAGTTAAAATTTGGTTAGGTTGTGTTAGGTTCCACTCCTATTTCACTAGTCACGTATTTCTATTGCATTATATATCCTTTTTTAGGCAAAGAAAAAAAATATTTTATAGCTAAGAAGATACCTAATTTATGTGTGGTAGAATGTTGGCCTATTTGGTATGACTAATTTTACACATATCATGGATTAATTATTTAGTTAGCACTTTTTATGTTGTCTCTAAAGGTGTGAGAATATGTACAAAACAGTTCTGAGAGCATAAGCTTAAACTGAAGGGATTTATGACTACTCTTCCACCATTACTTCAAGGTCGGTGAGGTTTGAGAGAAATGGCCTGAAGGGAGAGCAAGTCCTCGAAGCGCTGAGCAGCTCACAAACTGCCCTGGAAAATTTTACCCTGATAGAGGAGGTGGACAGTGAAGAAGAAAACTCGCCGTGGCCTCTAGACGGCATTGATAAATTCACAAAGTTGCAGAAATTAGAGGTTGTAAGTACCAGTAGGATTTGTGTAAGTCAAAAGTTCATCATCTAAACCAACTATGAACAGTGAATCTGATGACAAATAGGAAATGATAGAACACATCTACAACCACACTTCTTATTCTGATGATATGCAAAGTCTCACTTTTTGTTTTAACTTTACCAATTTTCAATGAATCTGTTGTGCCAGGGCGCACCAACTGTCGAAACTAAATGTACCGTAATCCACGAGTTAATTATATCTTACTAAAAACTCAAGAAGGCGAAGATGAAAATGAAAAGAAAGAAATATCGTACAAACTTTTTTTTCTCTCACAACAGATTGGCCCATACTCCGCTGGCTCCCTGTCGTCCACCCTTACATCAGTCACTCTTAATATAGAGGGATTGACTACCCTGCCCTCTGATGCCTTCACCGTTGCCACTAACCTCATCACGATCACACTACAAAACTCTTCACTGGAAAGTATCGAAGCAAACACCTTCAAGTGAGTAAGGCAACTTTGTAACAATTGTCTCGTTCTGAGTACAGTACTAAGCTCCGCCAGGACTTATCAGGGAGCAGCTGACTGGTGTGCCTCCATGTCAGCTTAAGAGGATATTGAAAATACTAGTTTACTGAATTATAAATCTGAACAGAGAGAGAGAGAGAGAAAGGTGTGATTTGCTAATTATTATAACTATAGCACTGTTGTAGCCCCACAGCCTCGTAAAACTGTCCCGTCATTCATTTATCATTTCACCACTTCTCAGCTTACTAACCATGTGGGTTACTTTGTTATGACCTTAATAGTCGAGTGTTAATTCAGGAGGAAACTAGAGTACCCGGAGAAAACTTCATATGTTTGTGAGGGTCACCCTGGGAAACATCCTTCTCAAATCTATAATGGCTCAGGGATTGAACCCAGGACACAAAGTGAAAAATACTCACGTTACCACTGTACTATTAATGCCACTTAATTAATCCTTAGCAGTAGTAGTACATATGTCGTGATAGTACTCCAGGTAGTAGTACGTAGTCATGGTAGTATCAGTATGAAGTTGTACTCGTAGTTGTAGCAGTATTAATAATAATACTGTACTGTATTAATAATCATTATTATGAGTTTTTTTGTAGGTTACTTACACATTTGGAGACAGTGGATTTATCAAATTGCAAACTGCAAAAGCTGACAACAGACTCTCTTGCCTTCGACGCCAACCTGACACTGGTAGACTTGTCCAACAACATCATTGACACTGTCGAGTCTGGAGCCATTAAAGGTAAGCCACCATTATGACACCTTTTTCGCCAGGTAATTAACATATATTTTTGTTTAATAAAAGTGTAATTATATCTTCAATTCTTTTCCCATGTTAATTCCAGGTATTCAAGGAAATACAAGTGTGAAGATTGACAATAACTTACTCGAGGAGTTACCTCAAGACCCTTTTTCCACGGTCATTACTGAACTGACTGATGAAGGACATGTTGATGTGAACAACAACCCTCTTTTGTGCGGCTGTGACCTAGCATGGATCGTTACTCTCACAGGTATTTTAATATTTTACTTGTTAATGTTGGAAGAAATATATTCACTCTCTTGTAAGAAAATTTCTTCAATTTGGATCACCTTAAAATCAGTACCCTAGCTCTAACTGCTCCAGTAAGGATATATTTCTTCTCACTCCTGCTACTCAAGGTGATTGAGAGTGAGAATACAGTACAGCATCAGGCTTCTCTCCCCAAGTCTCCTACTGTTGGCTTCTCCCCTCGTCTCGTCTGAGCAATATTTATATATTGTTCTATTCTTTTAACTTATTTGTCCACTAAAGATATTTAAATAAAAAAAGTCTTGTCATAAACAGTACATTTGATTCTTTCCTTAATTTAGATTTTTTTTTACTTCATTCAATCATACAGCGGCTGAGTGAATACACCGCTCACCCCCTGTACTAATGCTCGCTGGTTCGATCCCAGTCTACAATACTGTAAATGAGTATCTAGCTGTACACTTGATAAGGGGAGGCGGCCGAGAGCAGTGCTGGCTATGCTGCCTCCTTGTGTACTGAAAGTTTAATATAATATACAATGCGCTGTGTCCAAGGCTTCTCACGAGCCTTCATGCCTATGGGACCCACATTCATTTATTATACTGTATCATTCAAGCCTTGACACTTCCAGTTTTTCACAGTGAAATAAAGACGCAAATATTGGCAATTTATGTCCTTTTATATCATCATTATATCTAAAGATCTATTCCTCTATAATAGTGTGTGTGTGTGTGTGTGTGTGTGTGTGTGTGTGTGTGTGTGTGTGTGTGTGTGTGTGTGTGTGTGTGTGTGTGTGTGTGGACAAAAATGTTACCAAGCGTAAAGTTTCCTGGGGAAGAACAACACTCTAAACACAAGACTTCAGTACACTAGAACTAAGTGGCCTTCAGTGATGACACGGACAGTAATATATATCATTTATCATTTCCATTACTATTCCTTGTTACGATCTTCATTGTCCAGTGCTCGTAAAAGAGGAAACCAGAGTACCCGAAGAAAACCTTTGACCTCAAGTAAGGGTGTAGGAGGGTTGCACGAGATAATGCCCTTCCCATACCCGCCCAGGTCACAGTAGTTAAGAGGCAATTGCTATTCCTCTGTACCACCAACAGGTATAGTGCCTAGTCAGTAACACTGTTTTTTTTTTTTTTATCCTCTTCGCCACTGATCGGCTTGTTAGCCGCTTGGGCGATCGGTCACGTCTCTTTTCATTTATATTCTTCACCAAAAGATCGGCTCGCTAGCCGCCCGGGCGATCGGTCACGTCTCTGTCACGCACTGTTGGCAAATACTGGGCATGCACCGGCTCCTGAATGTACCTGAACCCGCTCCAGTGTTGGTCAAGTCTTCTCTTGAAAGAGCTCACACTCGGTGCCGTCACAACACTCTCTGGTAGATTGTTCCAAGAGTTTACAACCCTCACTCCGAAAAAGTTTGCCCTCACGGTTTTCTGGACTTGCGGCTTCTTCAATCTTGAGCTATGACCCCTTGTGGGGCGAGCGTCCGCCAGCTCCAAGTAAGGACACTCAACTGAGTAGTGCCCCCTGAGATGCTTATACACCTCAACTAGGTCCCCCCTTGCCCGTCTGTAGTATAAGCTAGGCAAGTTCAGGCGCTCCAATCTCTCAGGGTAGCTGAGGTGCCGAAGTGCAGGCACCAGTCTGGTGGCCCTCCTTTGAACATTTTCAACCAACTGACAGTCCCTAGCATATCTCGGGGACCAGATGGGGTGACAGTACTCCAGATGGGGAAGCACTTCACTCCTGAAGATCGACCTTCTTATAAGACCCAATAATTTATTTGCCTGATTTACCTTCTTCTCACAATGACCCGAGAACTTCAGCTCATTGTCAACATACACACCTAGGTCCTTCTCACACACAGTCTCAACTAGTGCAGTTTCTTCATCCCGTTGGGACATATGATACGCCTCCTTACCGTTGGTACGCCCCAGGTGCATCCTCTTACATTTCGTGACATTGAATCTCAGCAGCCATTTCTTCGACCATTCCTGGAGCCCACAGAGGTCCTTCTGCAGCTCTTCACAGTCCGCTTGGTTCTTAATTTCCCGAAATAACTTGGCGTCATCGGCAAACATTTGTATGGAGGAGTGTACAACGTCAGGCATGTCATTTATGAAACAAACAAACAACTCCTTATAACTGTTTTCACACTGTTCATTTATTTTTCCAGCTAATAAACTTACAGCACAGATAAGAATTTAATGGACCTCGTTCAATGTTCCATTAAGTGCACCAAATGTATTACCTATAAAATGTTTTACCAATCAAGTGCACTGTGTCACCTAATAAGTGTCTTGCCTATTAAGTGCACCAACTATGTTACCCATTAAGTGCAGACTCAGTTATACTAAGATAAAAATGTTCCCCCTTTCTATTTACAGATGAGCAACGGACACGTCTCGAGGGACTAAATACGTCTTGTGATATCCCAGACGATATCGAATTTCAGAAACTGTTGGACTTCCTCAAATACCAGTGTGGCATTACGGACCCTCCCCCACCCCCATCCTTCTGGTCCATGTTCTTTTAATCCAAGTGACATGCAAGCTCCCAGAGAAGACGTGTGGTGCCTGTGAGACATGATGTAGAAGACGTGTGGTGCCTGTGAGACATGGTGTAGTAGACGTGTGGTGCCTGTGAGACATGGTGTAGTAGACGTGTGGTGCCTGTGAGACATGATGTAGAAGACGTGTGGTGCCTGTGAGACATGATGTAGAAGACGTGTGGTGCCTGTGAGACATGGTGTAGTAGACGTGTGGTGCCTGTGAGACATGATGTAGTAGACGTGTGGTGCCTGTATACTTATGTTTACTTCTACATAAATTCCCAAAGTCAAACTCTTATGTATTGAGCTAAATAAATGTATTTACCTTGACTCTTGATTGAATTTATGAAACACAATACATTAATAAAAACCACAGCTAAACCAGGTACATCATATATTTTTATCCTTTTGTTTATTTGATATTTATGCCAACGATAGCATGTGGAAATCCAGCGGGTGGAGAAGCACTAGGAGGGTGTGTCTGGATGACGATGTGTGAACTACCGTAATATTAATAGTACAGTATAGTATAAAATATTATCCTTATAAGCCTAATTATTTCATAACAATATTCAGACAATACAGGGGAAATGAAGACCTAGATTCAAAGGCCTGGAACACCTCAGTCATGCTCATAAGAGTAGGCTACTGTACGGCCTTACACCATAGTGACAAAAAATACTCGCCATAAGAAAATCACTCATTATCGCTTCTAAACTCAAAGTAAAATCTCAGTTGATAAGTGAATCGGTCTCCTCTCACGTGACAGAGACCTTTTCTACCATGCTATATACTGTTTTTCTACCATGCTATATACTGTTTTTCTACCATGCTATATACTGTTTTTCTACCGTGCTATATACTGTTTTTCTACCATGCTATATACTGTTTTTCTACCATGCTATATACTGTTTTTCTACCATGCTATATACTGTATTTGTTTAGGCTGCACTGTTTACAACATAAACGTAAGGCTGGTGTCTACAATGTAAACACCAGCCCTACCCTCTAATGTTATGATACTTGACAATGGTGTATCGTTGACTGCACTAGTATGTGGTATTACAAACTCACTCTGAATGACAAATCACAAACTTGTTTTAATCATATCGATGACCCCTATTTATTATCTCTCAATACAGTAAGTCCGCGCTTAACGTCGTCCCACTTAGCGTTGTTTCGGTACTATGTCGCTAAGCTTTAGAGACCAAAAATTCGTTTAACGTCCCGGTGATCCGATACTGCGTCGTTTTGCTTCGTCACAGACTACATTTTACGGTGCACCTCCCTCTCTCGTCTGGCTGCACTATGCTCTCTTTGCTTGGTGCAGATTCTCAGTGACTCATCGCCCTCCTCCTCTCCTGCCCTCCTCCCTTCCCTCCATACTCCTCCCCTCCCACCAACCGCCTCCTCCACTTCACTACCCACCACACACTTGCTCTACCACCTCCGCCCATCAGTGAGTACCCAGATACAAACTTAGAACAGTAGTTGTATATGTATGCATTATTTTCTATAGAAATGGCAATGATCTTCTGTATATGTAATGTATTTCATGGGGCAAAGGGAGGCTCAGGAAAATTGATCCGCTTAACGTTGTTTCGTATAACGTCGCGTGTTTAGGAACGTAACCCCGACGTCAAGCAAGGGCTTACTGTAATGATATTTCAGATCTTTCAAAATTTTATGTACTGGGACTTTTAGTCTTTTGTTTTTAGTGATTGTCCGACCACTAGAGTGACGGCAGTTTTTTGAAAGGAGTCAAGTGGAAGAAAAAGACTCAACGGAGAGACACGGAAGGTGGGGATGGGAGTTAGGCGACAACGTAAAACCAAGACAAGAAAATAATTGATTCTGTGGAGTGGATATTGAAAATAATCTTCTAGATGACTCGCTTGAATAAATCCCCCTAATCTGTGTTGTGTGCACCTGTACATGAGAGTTCGATGTGCTTATCTGGGCATTATCAATGCAGGTGAGGTTCCTCCCACACTGTAGCCCCCAAAGTGAGTGGTGGTGACATGGCGTGGGAATATTGTAACACCATTGTTATTTCCTTCAGGTGTTCTGCCCTTGTGTCGACCTTCCCCACCTACTGATATTGGAGAATTTTTTTCTAATTCGTGGAAGAACGTTCATGATGGCTGCGCATATCAGACAGACGTGTAAACCGTTTACATTAATAATCATTTTTGGGCAATAGAACCATTGTATTTAATAATCTATGTGGTGAGTGACCTTATAGCCATCCTCCTTGGCCTCAAAGACTGGTGTTCCCACACCATAACCCCAGAGCCAGGATTCCCAAAATTGCTCGAGTAAAAATTCTACATAACTAGAGATAAGAGATAGCACCTAGTTAACTCACGCTATGGTAGGCAGCCAATACATTAAAAGTTGCCCTGACATTCAAACTTATCTGGAGGAGTTTTCTTAAGGCCATATTAGGGAAAACTTAATGTGAGGATTCTTTGGTGTGGCAGAACATGTGAGCGTTGCTGATGTCGCCTTAATTAGCCAACTCTTATGCACTCTGATAGTTCACAAACATTACACTTACCCTCGTACATAACAAGGTGCGTTCTCCGCGTTCCTGTCAGAGCAGATAAAACAACCTATGAGCCTTTGAGTGTCTATAGAAGATAGACCTTGACCCTCCCCACGTAGGAGGATAATAATGTGCTGGGTGGGCTGGAAACACCCAGGTGGTCTGTGCATTGTCTGAGGAGATGAGCCGTGTTTTTTGGCAGTTAAGTAGCCTGCTCACCGACTGTTTCATGCTGGTCACCACCTCTTTGATGTTGTTTTGTGATGGTATTTGAGAAACACTCCTCACCACTCCCATCACCCATTCACTGACCCAATGACAAACAACATGTACCTGCCACCTTAAAAAGATATGTACCATGTGTAATTCATTACAAACTTCTAAACCAAATGTAAATACAGTATCTTGAGTCAGCAGATGATCCACACTAGCAAACAAGTTACAAACGTTCTCAGTTAAAAAAACTGTCAGGGCAAACTACTTTGAAGTAAGAGTTATGAATTCTTGTAATAACCTGCCAGAGACTGTTGTGACAGCACTAAGTGTGAGCTAAACTCAACTTTATCGTCTTCGCCACTGATTGTCCTGTTAACCGCTTGAGCGGTTGGTCACATCTCTGTTATGCGCTATTGGCAAGTGCTGGGTATGCAATGGTTCCAGAATGTGTCTGAATTTGTGGCAGTGTTGGTCAAATCTGGTCTTGTTCCAAGAGTTCACAATTCACAGGCATTGAGGCACAATAACCTCCCATTACAGATGACCCAAAACCATTCTATTGAGCCTCTTATATCTAACAAGATGAAATATAATCACACGAATGGACGCAGTTGACGGCACAAGACCTGTCATCACACGCTGTATACTAAAAGGGATGATCCTTTTCACAGCAGCAGCATCAGCAGCTAGATCGTAGTAGGTTACATCACTTCTCGCTGAAGTAACACAAAAAGCAACAGACTAACCAGGTCTCTCCCAAACTGCTCACAACCTATCACTATTATTTTTTCCATAAGTCATTAGATAAATATATATAATGATTCGGTAAAATTGTCATTCACGTTTGCAATTGGTTCAGCATGTATATAAACAACGCAGGTATACAGTGTTCAAACACCATGCAGGAATACACTTTCCCATGTAGAGTATACCAAAATGGTGCGGGTATACCAAAGAAATCCAAGGAATGAGAGCCAATAAGTTACCATATGCTTAGTTCTAGCACAGTACGGCCCTTTCTTTAGGCTTGGTTTGAAATAGGTAATAGTAAATCTACAGAAATAAAGGTGATAATGAGAATCTAGGACACGAGTGTATTATGGTGTATGACAGGTCTCTTATATCACAAATTATTTCTCCAGTAGGCATCACCTACACTTTATCACATGTCAGCAGGTGAGCGTCAGCCAGAGAACTAATGAGTGAGTCACAGCAGCAACAGGGAAGTGTCAGCCGTGTTTATCTAGTGAAGTGTGGCAAGTGTCCTCACCGAGGCTATATCACACCCCAGCCATCCTCCTCCTACAACAGTGTCTCACAGTCAACCAGCCATGACCAGTCTGTGTACAGGTGAGTCAGTTTATCTCTCCCCAGTGTGTCAGTCTATCTCTCCCCAGTGTGAATCAGTCTATTTCTCCCCAGTGAGAATCAGTTTATCTCTCCCCAGTGTGAATCAGTCTATCTCCCCAGTAAGTCAGTCTATCTCTCCCCAGTGTGTCAGTCTATCTCCAGTGTGAATCAGTCTATCTCTCCCCAGTGAGTCAGTCTATCTCTCCCCAGTGTGTCAGTCTATCTCACCCCAGTGTGAATCAGTCTATTCTCCCCAATGTGAATCAATCTATCTCTCCCCAGTGTGTCAGTCTATCTCTCCCCGTGTGTGAATCAGTCTATCTCTCCCCAGTGTGAATCAGTCTATCTCCCCAGTGTGTCAGTCTATCTCTCCCCAGTGTGAATCATCTTCTCTCCCAGTGTGTCAGTCTATCTCCCCAGTGTGAATCAGCTCTATCTCTCCCCAGTGTGAATCAGTCTATCTCCCCAGTGTGTCAGTCTATCTCTCCCCAGTGTGAATCAGTCTATCTCTCCCCAGTGTGAACAATCTATCTCCCAGTGTGAATCAGTCTATCTCTCCCAGTGTGTCAGTCTATCTCTCCCCAGTGTGAATCAATCTATCTCTCCCGTGTGAATCAGTCTATCTCTCCCGTGTGAATCAGTCTATCTCTCCCCAGTGTGTCAGTCTATCTCTCCCCAGTATCAGTCTATCTCTCCCCAGTGTGTCAGTCTATCTCTCCCCAGTGTGAATCAATCTATCTCTCCCGTGTGAATCAGTCTATCTCTCCCCAGTGTGTCAGTCTATCTCTCCCCAGTGTGAACAGTCTATCTCTCCTGTGTGAATCAGTCTATCTCTCCCCAGTGTCAGCTCATCTCTCCCCAGTGTGAATCAGTCTATCTCTCCCAGTGTGTCAGTCTATCTCTCCCCAGTGTGTCAGTCTATCTCTCCCCAGTGTGTCAGTCTATCTCTCCCCAGTGTGTCAGTCTATCTCTCCCCAGTGTGTCAGTCTATCTCTTCCCAGTGTGTCAGTCTATCTCTCCCAGTGTGTCAGTCTATCTCTCCCCAGTGTGTCAGGCTCCATCCCTCCCCAGTGTGTCAGTCTATCTCTCCCAGTGTGTCAGCTCATCTCTCCCCAGTGTGTCAGTCTATCTCCCCAGTGTGTCAGTCTATCTATCCCCAGTGTGTCAGTCTATCTCCCCAGTGTGTCAGTCTATCTCCCCAGTGTGTCAGTCTATCTCTCCCCAGTGTGTCAGTCTATCTCCCCAGTGTGTCAGTCTATCTCTCCCCAGTGTGTCAGCTCATCTCTCCCCAGTGTGTCAGTCTACCCCCAGTGTGTCAGCTCATATCTCCCCAGTGTGTCAGTCTATCTCCCCAGTGTGTCAGTCTATCTCTCCCCAGTGTGTCAGTCTATCTCTCCCCAGTGTGTCAGTCTATCTCTCCCAGTGTGTCAGTCTATCTCTCCCCAGTGTGTCAGTCTATCTCCCCAGTGTGTCAGTCTATCTCTCCCCAGTGTCGCCCATTCTCCCCAGTGTGTCAGTCTATCTCCCCAGTGTGAATCAGTCTATCTCTCCCCAGTGTGTCAGTCATCTCTCCCCAGTGTGTCAGTCTATCTCTCCCCAGTGTGCTGCCCATTCCTCCCCCAGTGTGTCAGTCTATCTCCCCAGTGTGTCAGTCTATCTCTCCCCAGTGTGTCAGTCTATTCTCCCCAGTGTTGAATGAGTCTATCTCCCCAGTGTGTCAGTCTATCTCTTCCCAGTGTGTCAGTCTATTCCCCAGTGTGTCAGTCTATCTATCCCCAGTGTGTCAGTCTATCTCTCCCCAGTGTGTCAGTCTATCTCCCCAGTGTGTCAGTCTATCTCTCCCCAGTGTGTCAGTCATTCTCCCCAGTGTGTCAGTCTATCTCCAGTGTGTCAGTCTATCTATCCCCAGTGTGTCAGTCTATCTATCCCCAGTGTGTCAGTCTATCTCTTCCCAGTGTGTCAGTCTATCTCTTCCCAGTGTGTCAGTCTATCTCCCCCAGTGTGTCAGTCTATCTCTCCCAGTGTGTCAGTCTATCTCTCCCCAGTGTGTCAGCTCCTTTCTCTCCCCAGTGTGTCAGTCTATCTATCCCCAGTGTGTCAGTCTATCTCCCAGTGTGTCAGCTCATCTCTCTTCCCAGTGTGTCAGTCTATCTCTTCCCAGTGTGTCAGTCTATCTCCCCAGTGTGTCAGCCCATCTGTCCCCAGTGTGTCAGTCCATTCCCCAGTGTGTCACAGTCTATCTCTCCCCAGTGTGTCAGTCTATCTCTCCCCAGTGTGTCAGTCTCCATTCTCCCCAGTGTCAGTCTATCTATCCCCAGTGTGTCAGTCCATCTATCCCCAGTGTGTCAGTCTATCTCTCCCCAGTGTGTCAGTCATCTCTCCCCAGGTGTCAGTCTATCTCCCAGTGTGTCAGCCTATCTCTCCCCAGTGTGTCAGTCTATCTCTTCCCCAGTGTGTCAGTCTATCTCCCCAGTGTGTCAGCTCTCCATTCTCCCAGTGTGTCAGTCTATCTCCCCAGTGTGTCAGTCTATCTCTCCCCAGTGTGGTCAGTCTATCTCTCCCAGTGTGTCAGTCTATCTCTCCCCAGTGTGTGTCAGTCTATCTCTCCCCAGTGTGTCAGTCTATCTCCCCAGTGTGTCAGTCTATCTCTCCCCAGTGTGTCAGTCTATCTCTCCCCAGTGTGTCAGTCTATCTCTCCCCAGTGTGTCTATCTCTCCCCAGTGTGTCGCTGCCATCTCCCCAGTGTGTCAGCCCATCTCCCAGTGTGTCAGTCTATCTCTCTCCCCAGTGTGTCAGCTCTATCTCTCCCAGTGTCAGTCCATCTCCCCAGTGTGTCAGTCTATCTCTCCCAGTGTGTCAGTCTATCTCTCCCCAGTGTGTCAGTCTATCTCTCCCAGTGTGTCCAGTCTATCTCTCCCAGTGTGCTGTCTATCTCTCCCCAGTGTGTCAGTCTATCTCTCCCCAGTGTGTCAGTCCATCTCTTCCCAGTGTGTCAGTCTATCTCCCCAGTGTGTCAGTCTATCTCTCCCAGTGTGTCAGCCTATCTCTCCCCAGTGTGTCAGTCTATCTCTCCCAGTGTGTCAGTCTATCTCTCCCCAGTGTGTCAGTCTATCTCTCCCAGTGTGTCAGTCTATCTCTCCCCAGTGTGTCAGTCTATCTCTTCCCAGTGTGTCAGTCTATCTCCCCAGTGTGTCAGTCTATCTCTCCCCAGTGTGTCAGTCTATCTTCTCCCAGTGTGTCAGTCTATCTCTCCCCAGTGTGTCAGTCTATCTCTTCCCAGTGTGTCAGTCTATCTCCCCAGTGTGTCAGTCTATCTCTCCCCAGTGTGTCAGCTATCTCTCCCCAGTGTGTCAGTCTATCTCTCCCCAGTGTGTCAGCTCCATTCTCTCCCCAGTGTCAGTCCATCTCTCCCAGTGTGTCAGCCATTTCTCCCCAGTGTGTCAGGCTATTCTTCCCAGTGTGTCAGTCCATCTCCCCAGTGTGTCAGTCTATCTCCCCAGTGTGTCAGTCTATCTCTCCCAGTGTGTCAGTCCATCTCTCCCCAGTGTGTCAGTCTATTCTCCCCAGTGTCAGTCTATCTCTCCCCAGTGTGTCAGTCTATCTCTCCCCAGTGTGTCAGTCTATCTCTCCCGAGTGTGTGTCAGCCCATCTCCCCAGTGTGTCAGTCTATCTCTCCCCAGTGTGTCAGTCTATCTCTCCCCAGTGTGTCAGTCTATCTCTCCCCAGTGTGTCAGTCTATCTCTCCCCAATGTGTCAGTCTATCTCCTCAGTAAGGTCCTTTGCTGAGGGTGGGAGATAATTTTATTTTATTTTATTATTTTTATTTATTTATTTTTTTTAATGGGGAATAGCCCACCCGGGCACAGGTCATAGACCCACAACAGGACCTAGGGGGCGAATAAATAAAAGGAAAAGGGAAATTAAAAATAGAAAAGAAAAAGATTACAGTATACTGTATTAATCTACACCACAAAAATGCCAGAAAAACAACTTTTTTAAGCAAGACAGATTATATGAGTATGGAAACACAGCAGAAGGCAGAGCATTCCACAGTTTAGCTGCATGAGGAAAGAAGGATGTACTATAACGGGTTATTCTAGTGTGACCAACATCCACAGAGAAACGGTGGGCACCGCGGGCAAGATGAGTGTTACGAGCCCACGGCCTTGCCAGTGGTACACAGGATGCCAAATCCATCGAAAATTGCCCGTTAAAGTACCTGTAAAGGAGAGAGTGAAGCAACACTGTTAATAAGACGAAATGCCTTTGATTCTACCCTTTCTAACAGTTGGACAGAAGAAGAGCCACCCCAGATATGAGAGCAGTACTCCAAGTTAGGACGAATGAATCCCTTATATACTTGAATCAACTGCTCAGGAGTGAAGTAGCTACGGCATCTGTACAGCATTCCCAACTTTCGGGAGGCAGCTTTAGCAATGTTGTGGATGTGTGACAATAAATCTACAAATACTGTAAAGTGTGTAACGATTTGCTTGGGAGTGTTTTGTGGGACTAGTGAACAGGATGAAAACCGTGAGGGCAAACTTTTTCGGAATGAGGGTTGTAAACTCTTGGAACAATCTACCAGAGAGTGTTGTGACGGCACCGAGTGTTCGCTCTTTCAAGACAAGACTTGACCAACACTGGAGAGGGTTCAGGTACATTCAGGAGCCGGTGCATGCCCAGTATTTGCCAACAGTGCGTGACAGAGACGTGACCGATCGCCCGAGCGGCTAGCGAGCCGATCAGTGGCGAAGAGGATAAAAGTAAAAAAAAAGTAATATTATGTGGTACAGTATATTGTCTTTTATATTACTTGTTATTATGTGCCAGTAACAGAGTAAAGATGATTAAGTTAAAGGAAGACCTTTGGAGTAATAATAATGTGTGTGTGTGAAGACCTGTGGTGTAATGGTCAGCATGCTCGCCTCGCAAGCAAGCGGACCCAGGTTCAATCCCTGAGCAGAGTGAAACTATGGGCAAGTTTCTTTACGCCATTTGCCTCTGTCTACCCAGCAGTAAATGGGAACCTGGATGTTAATTGATTTGCAGAACTTCTTCCTTGGTAATGGTTAGCCAGTGCAGTTGGCGAGTTGTCCGGTCTTCTCAGACTATTCCTTGACACTGGGTCATGCAGCTCATTAACTTAGGGTGTGGTTATCGTGTTGGCAACAGCGTCTACACCTTAAACAAATTCATTTCTAGGTGGCCCTTGGGCTGGCCATCCTCGTTACACGAAGGGCAACCATTATTAAATTATATTGATAATGTAAGTTCTTCATCAAAATAGACCAAAGGAATTCACATTACACAAAGAAACTTCGCTGAACTGAATGTAACTTTAATTAGGTTAAGAAATAGATCCAAAATTCCTAAAAAATGATAAAGGCAAAATTAAGAAATAAGCTCTGGTATGATAATGTTGTTGTTACAGGAGTGAGGGCGGGTGTGTTGTGTGTGGTGATGATGGTGACCACCGCTGCAGCTTTCCACCCACCTGCTAGACTCCCACACGACCTTCATCATGGTGAGTACCACTGAGGCGCTTGATAATGAATGGTATGGTGTCCTTGTGTCCGACTGTCACACAGTGGTCCCTAACCCTTTGTAGGCTCTGGGACCCATTTGTTATTGTAAATATAGTTGAGGGCACTAAAACTTTGGGCCTACATTCAAGAAAAAATTCTCATCTACATGTGTACTGTTATTTGAAGTTTTACACAAGTCGAACTGTTACCAGTTACATACTTTGACATTAACTCTTGGATCAGGAAGACATTTGTTTTCTCATGGGGAGAGAGTAGGAATGTTCAATGGTGACTCTAGAAGCTTTAATCTCTTCTGGGTAATACAGTATTTTATACATAAATCTACAGCACATACAAGCAAAACATCTATAATTAGTTTGCTGTATAAGAGACTTTGTTTTTACAGGGAACACCAGAAGTGAATTTCCATGCCCAGAAATTGAAGACATAAAGCCGTGTAAATGTAACTACACTGGACAAAATATGACACTCTCTTGTATTGCCCTGAGTGATGCTGCCCAGCTGGACCAGGTGTTCTCTGCCACCTTCCCCATACCCTTATTCAGCAAATTTACTCTTATGGCTTCCAACATACCTATTCTCAAGAAGGACACATTTAAGAAAGTATCTTTCAGGTATGTACAGGTACTAATAGACAGTTTATTATATTTTGAGTAAAACTAAGGTCACAAACACATCTCATTAATTTATTGCTTCTTGTGTATATGTGTAAAGACAAATATATTGCCATGTGTGTGGGTAGTAATATACTAATATATTTCTCTCTTACATCAAGAATTAATCCATTCTACCTTATGAATTGCAATCAACTCATTCCTGCCACTAAGCATTCATTTATAGCAGTTAGAGTGCAAAATGATCCCATTTCACGAATAAAATGTTTTGTCCATTTGTACCTTCAGTAATAATTAAAACCATAGCATAATATATTATTAATTACGAAAATATGTCCGGGAAAAATATGTAAATAGCTACTTTATCCTCCAGGGAGGTACAAATGTTCTCTAACAAGATGAAGACGGTAGAGGCCGAGGCATTTGCTGCCTCCTACAGCACCTTAAAGAAGTTTATGTTCAATGAGGATGGCTTAGTCAACCAGTCATGGCCGCTACCTGACCTCAAAAATTTCAGTGAAATAACTGATATTTATGTTGTAAGTGTTTTTTCTTTTACCTTTCAGTTTACAGTACATAAATATATTAACTGCATATTCAAGTAGGGTGTAGTGAATAACGATAAATATACTGTACAGGTCCCCCCAAAAAAGTATTGTTAGCCTTAGGGTCAATGTGATTCAAGGCTTTCTGATCAATGTTACTCGACCTTTTTCTGAATGGTTGGTAGTTGTACATCTGCCACCTTTGAATATGAATGAGCATAAACGTCTTTGAACGATATATTCATTAAGAAAGCTTAATTGATTTCTTGTTATATTGAAGTATTTAGTATGCCATACAAGAACCACTCATTTCCCTAATCCTTCACCCATTTCTACTTTTACTTTTATCATCTTCACCACTGATCAGCTCGTTAGCTACTTGGGCGGTTGGTTACATCTCTGTTATACATTGTTGGCAAATATTGAGCATGTACTGGCTCCTGGATGTATCTGTACCCACACCAGTGTTGGTCAAGTCTGGTTTTGAAGGAGCTTTCACTCTGTGCCGCCACAACACTCTCTGCCAGATAGTTTCAAGAGTTTACAATTCTTACTCCAAAAAAGTTTGTCCTCACACTTATCTGGACTTCTGGTTTCTTCAACCTTGAGCTGTAACTTCTAGTGGGGCAGGCATCCACCAGCTCCAGGTGCCCTCTGAGAGGTTTATAAACTTCAGTTAAGTCACCCCTTGCCCGCCTATAGTGTAAGCTAATATCTCTGGGTAACTGAGGTGCCGTAGTGTAGGCACTATTCTGGTGGCCCTCCTTTAGACATTTTCAATAAACTGACATCTCTAGCATATCTCAAGGACCAGATGGGGTGACAGTACTCCAGATAGGTTAGCACCTCATCCTTGAAGCGTGTTATGATGGACAGACCAACTAGATATCTGAATGACCTTCTTATAAGACCTGCTAGCTTAGTTGCTTGATTTACCTTCTTCTCACAATGGTCCAAGAACCAAGAACCTCATTTCATTGCCAACATACACACCCAAGTCCTTTTCACATTCAGTCTCTGTTAATGCTGTTTCTTCATCCCATTGGGACATGTGGAAAGCCTCCTTACTGTTTGTATGACGAAGGTGCATCCTCTTACACTTCGTGACAATGACTCTTAAGGCTGTTGCTGATATGGTGAGCAGGCACACCAACTTATGATGATGCACTGGGGATCATATCAAAACCTTTCTTCTACCATTTTAAATTGTTGAGACGAAAAATCTACAATACAATTTATGGTGAAGTAAAAAATATAGGTTCCAAAATATTATGAATAGTAAGACACAAAATAATAAGAGAAGTTACCCGACTGTGAAAATGTAAACAACACTTTTTTTAATGAAAAAAAATCATTAAACATGTCGTTGTGTGTGACAAGAGTGAGACCATTATGACACAAGACAAGGAACACTGGTACAGTATACAAGAGTTTAACAGTGATCAGTTTAATACTGTACCTGTAGCTATAATATATTGTTTGCTGACTCAATTATCATACATCTTAATCTTTCTAATACCTGTACTATAATGATTCATTCATCCTTTGGGGTTTTTAGAGTAAAATATTCTAGAAGGGTGATGTGTGTGTGTGTGTGTGTGTGTGTGTGTGTGTGTGTGTGTGTGTGTGTGTGTGTGTGTGTGTGTGTGTGTGTGTGTGTGTGTGTGTGTGTGTGTGTGTGTGTGTGTGTGTGTGTGTGTGTGTGTGTGTGTGTGTGTGTGTGTGTGTGTGTGTGTGTGTGTGTGTGTGTGTTGGCAACATTTAACTTGATAACATGTAAATACAATAATTAAAAGAGACATAGTGCTAAGTTCGGCATCTTAGGTGTAGATTAATATAACCTTTTTCTTTTCAGTTTTTAATTTCTTTCTACTCTTGTCCCCCCATCGGACCCGTTGTGGGTCGATAACCTGTGCCCAGGTGGGATAATCCCCGTAAAAAAAAAGATAAAACTAAAAAATATAATAAAAAAAATCCACATTGTAAAGAACCCTTATATGGAAATAGCCATTACTAAACTTCTGTTGTTTCAGCTTCAATATTACATTAAGCCAATATTCTCTGCTCTGTTTTTTTTTAAGAAATCTGTTGACCATTTTTCATCATACCTCTTCACTATGTCCAATACGAACAGTGCCGTCTACATTCCAAACATCTGATATTACTTGAACAATAAAATTTATTCTTTTATGTTTACTGAGAATTTCTTTCATTAACAAAATTCTTACTTAATGTGATATAAAGTTAGAGATGGCGCACAGATTGTCTAACTCCCTGTACAACATGAAGCTAACTAGTGAGTTCTTTACCAAAATCTTCTTTAAATCTTTAATAAATGTAAATGGGGAAACATAACAGTAATGCACGATGTTCCCTTGATCAGGGGGGCCTGTGTAAGGAGATACCACCCTTGGAGTCTTCCAGCCTCACTTCTGCTGCTTTTTATATGGACAACTTGACTAAGCTGGCCAGCAACACCTTCGCCAAAACCCCTAATCTTGAAAATATAATCCTTCACGGGAAGGAATTAACCGACATCGAGCCAAATGCCTTCCAGTAAGTAACTTGCCTCCACTCATAAAATTATATGCTACCAAACATGGCAGGTTTTCTCTCAGTACTCCATGCTTCTCCTGTACCAACACTGGACAATGATGGGCAAACTCATCAGGAACAATGGAGGAGTAACTAGCTACCACAGTACTGTATTTTCCCAGTCAAAGTGACATATTAAAATTTATATTGTAGGCCTAAAATGGATTTTTAAATCATAACCACTTAGTAGTTCACGTTGTCCTTCATCATACAGGTAACTCGCATTTGATTTAAGTATTTTTGGAATAACCCGATTGTTCAATTAATACCAAAGGCTAATTTATGCGCACCTATTTTTTAAATAATGCGCTCAAGACAGTTTAAATTTGCCGTGTGTATTTACCCGGTCGCCTGGCAGTGGAGTCGCGTGTGATGCCTGGTGAGGTGCTTGTAAGTTATTACTATAAAGTCGCAGTCAAATTAACATCAACAATTTTAATATTACTATTAATAATAATAATTATTATAATAATGTAATAATAAAGATTATTGCTACTGTACTAATGATGAAGATAATGATGATAATGACGTATTCTGTACAACAACTGTAGAGACGTCCAGCAAGCTTCCAGTGTATCACTTTCTCAGTTCACACCAGCACTACTTTTTCTCTGTGCTCTCATTTGCATTGTGTGTTTATCACGTATCTTTTTAGTGTTAGACGCTCTTTTCCCCATTGAGCATGTCTGGAAACTTTCATCTGCCTCCTCTGGGGTGCCTAAAGCTAAAAAGGCACGAAAAACAATCGCAATGGACGTGAAATTAAATGTGATCACCCGCCTTCAGAGTTAGCCACGTGTTTGGTTTAAGTGAGAGCACTGTTCGTACCCTGTGTGGTATATGATGGTTCCCCTAACCTGTACCATTTACATGTATTCTTATGGGAAAAAGGTGTTTAATTTACACGTTTTTTAATTAAGCGGTGGTTTTGAAGAACTTAACCCCCGCATAAGACGAGAGATGGGTGTACTTGCATATACTTACACAAGCATAAACTGCACACTTAAAGATACCCATGAACTCGGTACAGATGCAACAATTCCAAAATAAAATTCAATTCTGTTATGAGAAGCAGCTGATCAACAAGGTGTCAACAAGACATGTGACACTTGGTGTATAAAGATCAGTGCATTTATGTAGTGTAGAGGCATCACTAAATTCACTAACACAATAGGCACATTCCTTCTCTCTTAATATGTATCTAGGTGGTGGTGCTGATCTTACAGCATCATGAGATATCTCTTTCTCTCTCTTCACATCTAGGATAAGATATAAATCATAAAAACATAATGTGTTGACGTCAGGGAACACTTATAACAACACTTCAAAGACCACTTATGTTTGAAGGACTCTCACAGTCATTTTTGTAAATTTTACTCAGCTATACAGTTTAGAGATTGAAATTGTATGTATAGTATCTTGGAATATTTATAATATATCAAGATGTAATTAATTAGTTAATATTAAGAATACATTATAATTAATGCAAGTTAAGGAACCAACAACATCACAACTGTATGGCCACTGTATTTAAGTTGAACAAAGAGGTTGATGGCAATATTCTTACTGACCACTTTACAATACAGTATTTTGTCTATTTTCCAGGCAACTTTCGTCACTGAAAACGTTAACGATATACGAGACAGGTGTTGATACCCTAAATAAATCTTCTATGGCCTTTAGTTCTACTGTGCTGACACTTATAGATCTTCACCACAACAAGATACAAACTATTGAGGAAGGAGCATTCCAAGGTTAGACCCAACTACTGTGGACACTACTATCTCTCTCCTTCCATGGGCAGTATACAGTATTATATTTGTAATCCTTCTAATTCCTGGCAGAAATAATTTCGTGAGCTAATTACAGTGTATTGAAACTGATGCCTTCATTTGTAAACTATTATCCCTTCAAATACAAATCAATTAGCCATTACAAACTTATGTTGCATTACTACCTACTGTACTGTACACCTTTCAGATGTATCTGGAGAAGTTAATATTACTCTCAACAACAACCAACTCCAACTGTTGAACGAAGATCCTTTCTCTGAACTATTAACCAACACAACGGGAATCATCGACGTGTCAGACAACCCTCTGGAATGTGGCTGTGACTTATACTGGACTGTCACTATTACAGGTGCCTCATTCTCTTTATTTCTATAATGCATATGGACTTTAAAGCCCTCTAGAACAAGTGTGTGTGTGTGTGTGTGTAAACCAGAGCATCTTAAGAGGCCACAATCCTGTAGCTGTGACTCATGTTTCTTTCTCTATACACATCCACTCTTAATCCTAATTTCAGAACAATATCAGAAGGCTGTGGCTGGGGGTATTATTTTGATTATAAGTTTTACTCATGCATCTCATATCTGTCTCCATTACTCTCTCTTTATCCAAGTACACACACAACACTCAGGTAACTACACACAACACCCAGGTAATTACACACAACACTCAGGTAACTACACACAACACCCAGGTAACTACACACAACACCCAGGTAACTACACACAACACCCAGGTCACTACACACAACACTCAGGTAACTACACACAACACCCAGGTAACTACACACAACACCCAGGTAACTACACACAACACCCAGGTAACTACACACAACACCCAGGTAACTACACACAACACCCAGGTAACTACACACAACACCCACTACACACAACACTCAGGTAACTACACACAACGCAGGTAACTACACACAACACTCAGGTAACTACACACAACACCCAGGTAACTACACACAACACCCAGGTAACTACACACAACACTCAGGTAACTACACACAACACCCAGGTAACTACACACAACACCCAGGTAACTACACACAACACCTACAGGTAACTACACACAACACCCAGGTAACTACACACAACACCCAGGTCACTACACACAACACCCAGGTAACTACACACAACACCCAGGTAACTACACACAACCAGGTAACTACACACAACACCCAGGTAACTACACACAACACCCAGGTAACTACACACAACACTCAGGTAACTACACACAACACCCAGGTAACTACACACAACACCCAGGTAACTACACACAACACCCAGGTAACTACACACAACACTCAGGTAACTACACACAACACTCAGGTAACTACACACAACACTCAGGTAACTACACACAACACTCAGGAATTTATATATTTATTTTTTTATTTTTCAGAGGAGATGTTTGATCATCTACATGGACTTTTGTCATCCTGCAATTTTGAGGGTAACTACAGCTTACATACCCTGATTAAGTTCCTCGAGTACCAGTGCACCTCTGAAAGTTCTTTATTCCAATTGTGGAATTATATATAGGGGGTGTGAGGGAAGGGGAGGGGAGAGGAACTAGCTTGCTTGGTGGGTTATGCTACAATACACGGATGATAGACAAACCAATAAAACTCTTATGGACCAAAACAAAATTCAAACTCCCAAAAATGATGAAGCAGACAAAATTCCACAAGGTTTAGTTTTTCATTAGTCATATAGCCCGAGATGTTGGATTAGGTTGGTTGTGTGTGTGTGTTTGTCTCACTACTAGACTGAACGTGTGTGTTGTGTGTGGTAGTTTCAATGACCAGTGTTACAAGAAGTCTACCAAGACCCTATTGGAGCATCATTGTTTTTCCTTTTTATACTGTGTTATTGTTTGTCATTAAGCATGTAGACTTTGAGAAATAAAACATATTAACATATAGACATATTTAAATCTAGATAATAAGTCACCTTTAGATATAAAACACGTACAATAAAAAGACAGAAATATGCGTGAGCTGAAAACATACTGCGCATTGCTCCTGAATGATCATTATGTACTGTAGTTGTTCTGAACTTGTACCGCACTTACTGTAAATATTGCTTGTTTAAACAGTTGTACAGTACCGTATGTAGAACTGTGTGAACATTATATAAATGTCAATGACCCTGGCACCTATCACACCAGTCTGAGGTTCTTTGTACAAGTCAGAACATAACCACTGGTGTGCAAGTGTTATTATAATTCTTGAAGTATACAGCAGTACAATGTAAAGATGATGATGAATATTTCCACACCATGATACAACAGTATAAATGACAACCATAGAGATTCTTTCATCACCTCAGAAAAAGACTTTCAGTAAATAACACCAAACAAAGGAGAACCTCATATGAAAATAAATGATCAGACAAGCACACACAAAAAGAATTAGATAAAATCCCCTAAAAATTATGCAATATCTGGAACAGTATGTACTTCGTTTATAGGTGGTGAATGCTTTTTTCATTATAAATTAGTAAGAATATCCCTAAATACACCCTGTAATACACTATACATACAGTATATTGTACTGTACTGTACTGCAAATAAAAAATCTGAGTACTGTACAGCATAGAAATACTAACATCCCAATCCTCCTTGCCTACTTGAATCTCAAGTACAGTAGATGCCTGATGTTGCCAAAAATGTTGAGGGGATTTTGCCTGTGTCGAAAATGACATAGACGATTTAACACAGAGTTTAGTAAACAGTAGATGTGGTCAGTTGTGACGAGGCCTGTCTCTTGTGGCATGTTATATTGTATCGCTGTGTGAAGTGGCGTGATGTGACCATTATAGCATATGGTCTGTTTTAAGTGTTATAAGACGTGGGCTGTTGTAGGTCATATTATATCATGATCTGTTGTAACAGTCTTTCATGACATGGTCTGCTGCTCTACGTGTGCACATTAATAAAAATTTGTCATTATCCAAGTACAGTGTAGCTGTAAATCCTGCCCATGAATCTTTACCATGGCAGGATAGATATCAAACTAGTATTGCTCTTACTGTAAATTACTGTAGTCGTTGCTGGTGTCTCCTGTCATTGTTTTCTTCAACCGCTGAAAACTGTATGTGTATTCATTGATAATGAGAAGTCTATATAATACAAAAGTGTTCTTCAGTGTTAATTTATCATGAGTTTTAGTGTGGAAAGTTTGTTAGAAGAGTATTTTGGAAGCCATTGAATATCAGTGTCAACAATCATTTCATCCCCTTGGTAAGGTAGGTGTCCCACAGTGAACCTTATTGCATTACATATGGTGTCACAGGACAGACAGTTTATAGCGCTGATGTATCAGAAAGGGGAAAATTTCTCAATTAATTCAGCCATTACTTTATTTCCACTGCATCTGCAACTTTGTGAAACTAATCCTGACTGAAATAATTAATTGTTCAGCCCACACTAATGCATTTTTTACTTATCCTTACAGAAGTGAGAGCTCTTGCCTTCCCTTGTCCAGACGAAAATGAAATCGATCCATGCAGGTGTGATTATGATCCAGTCTCTGGCACCCTTAACCTCACCTGCAGTCAGCTGGACAGCATAGATCAGCTGGACAAGGTGTTCTCCGCAAATTTCCCATTTAACAAATTTAACCTGTTTCAACTGGAAGACTCTAAAATACCTGTTCTTAAGAAGGGTATATTCCGGAGTGTGTATTTCAAGTATGTTAACTTTTTAATGCTGTACAAAGGTAGAATTTTATTTGTGTGTTAAGATGAAAATTGCCATCATCTTTAGATTAGACATTCCAGTTTATTTAACTTAATGATTAAACACTCTAATTCTAACTGGAGGGATTAAGATAGATTAGATTTATGTTATGTTGTTAGTTTAGGTTAGCATTAGAGATTTTAACTCTTTCAGTGCCAGTACTTCCTTCTGCTGAATACAGTACTGTAGCAGCATCTGTCAATATATTGACAGTACAGTACTGTGAAACAACTACAAGGAAACTACAAGAGTTACAAGGTACCAGCTGGAGGGATCACTGGCTAGTACAGTACTGTACTGTACAAGGTGGCTAGTACATGGGATTACCCGACATTCCATAACTAGCTTAATACACAGTACAGTGTAATTATCAGGTGTTAGACAGAATAATATTCTAAAAGTGCGCCTAGAGCAGGCAAAGGCTTCATCGTCAGGTGAAATAAGTTGATACAGGTATGTACAGTACTGATATACAGTACTGGTAATATGAACCATTTCATGCGAAATGGGAGTACAGTAAGTCCTCGCTTAACGTCGGGGTTACGTTCCTAAAAACGTGACGTTATACGAAACAACGTTAAGCGGATCAATTTTCCCCATAAGAAATAGATAAAATACAGTACTGTGCTGTACTGTACAGTATACAGAGAAATCAAATTGTGAGCAAAATTTAGGTTAAATGATAAGCAGGGATCTTAAACCTAGACAGCAATGCAATTACTCTAAGTATGAAATAAAACTAACACAGTACTGTACTGTACAATGGTTAATATCTAAAAGCATCAGTAACAAGAGCAGTAGTGTTATTTTACTACTAGTCACAGCTCGAGGTTGAAAACCCACAAGTCCAGAAAACTGCGAAGGCAAACTTTTTTGGAGTGAGAATTGTATACTATATGAACAATCTGCCAGAGAGTGTTGTGACGGCACCGAGTGTAAGGTCTTTCAAGACCAGACTTGATCAACACTGGAGCATGTACAGATACATTGAGAAACCGGTGCATGCCCAGTAAGTGCCAACAGTGCGTAACAGAGACGTGACCAACTGCCCAAGCGGCTAATGAGCTGATCAGAGGCAAAGAGGACCAGAGTAAAAAAAATAAAAAATCTAGTGTTTGAGAGACTACACTTGGATTATGCGGCTCAGTATTGGTCACCTTACTATAGAGTGGATATTAATTCCCTAGAAAATATTCAGAAAGGGACAAAAAAAAGTTAATCCCAGGAATAAGAAACATATTGAGGGATGATATGATCAAATGGTATAAATGGAAGGTGATACAACTAAGGTATTTAAACTAATAAGTTAAGAGAAATTTAGATTTAAGAAAGAATTAGATAAACATGGTTTGGAAATAGAGTTGTGGATGAATAGAACAAGTTACAAACTCCATCAAAAACTTGAATCTATTTGTAAGCTTCAAATGTGGGTTGGACAGAGTGTTAAGGGTTGGGTGTAAATAGAGGTGCCTGGTATACCCATACACTTTCCTTCATACATATATTTCTATGTATACTGTAAACCCTTGCCTACCTTACTTAATAATCCCTCAATTGTCCTTCAAGGTGGGTCATCTTGATCTTCAACAACATGACAGACGTGGAGAGTGGCGCACTGGAGAGCCTCTATGACAGCCTCGAGGAGTTCCATATCACCGAGAAATATGTCGACGAGGACTACAACTGGCCCATCCAAGACCTGTCCAAATTCAAAGTCCTTAGTGAAATTGGCATAGTAAGTGTAACTGCTTGGAAGTACAAGTGTGTGTGTGTGAGTGTGTGTAACAATAACCTGTACAGGTATTAGAATCAATACATTAATACAGTACAGGTACGTGAAAAAAGTAACGGTAAGTAAATTCGATTCACAACTTACTGAAAATTGCTAAATATAATTGAGCAGCTGTTTATTCCAAAATTGACTAGCATGTTTAAGATTTTTTTTTTTTTTTTTAAGAATACTGTAATGATGTTTTAGGAAGCAATAAGTTTTGGAGTCTATTCATTTCTTCAGGGGTCAGAATTTGCCCCCCCCCCCAATTTTTTTTTATTTTATTTTCCCCTTTTTTGTTGTACTAAAGCCAAGTTACCTGGGACACAACATCTCAGATGGCATAAGACAGTCCTTAGACACCAGTACAGATACATTTGGATATTTAATCTATTTTCATGATTTAATAGAGGCCAAACATTACTAACTTGAAGGACTGAATGGAGGAGACATGTTACATTATTTGTTGTAGTCATTTGCAGATGTTGAGTTGTTTGCTATCACTGATATATTTTTCATCCATTCTAAAGACCAAATACTGCAAATCGTACCTTTATCCTGCCGTGTGTTGCAACAGAGTGGTCCGTACAGCAGCCTGCCCGTCCTCGAGTCCAAATCCCTGAATTCTGTGCTCCTGGACATGTATCACCTCACCTCCCTGCCTGACAACATTTTCACTGCTGCCCCTAACCTACAGTCCATAACCTTTCAAGGAACCAGACTAGAAGACATTAAAGCAGATACTTTCAAGTTGGTGGCACTATTTTTCACTGTTTAGTAATGAGGATGATTAACATATGGGATGTGTGTGAGTGAGTGTGTGTGTGTGTGTGTGTGTGTGTGTGTGTGTGTGTGTGTGAGTATGTGTGCTTTAAGAATTGGATAATTATACAAGAATATTTCATAATAGAAAGTATAATACAATACAGTACAAACAAATGAAATAGCAACATGGGTATCAATGGAAAATAGGGATACCCCCTTTTTTTAACAGAAAACAGTAAAACAGCCTTAATCCTCTGTACAGTCATATAACTAAGCCATAGGTACAATATAGTGTAATGATAAAGGGGTTTGCAGTAAGGAAGGCATCATGAGAAATATTCAGTCACTGTTGTTCTCTGTTAAGTAATATGTTACATAGGGGATTGTTGATCTCTTGTAGTGTTTAGTCCCATTTTGGTTCAACTAATTAGTCGTCAGTGATGTGAATTGCATCCATGAATGGAGCATAGATCGAGTGGTAGCAAAGTGCGATCAAACCTTAAGATGCAAATGTTTACACCAGTTGTCAAATGGTTGTTAGGTAACATTTGGGGGAGCATTCTAGTGACTTACTGGTAATAACTTCCCATAATCATACAACAATTTTCGAATACCGTATATTTTGCAGGTTCCTTCCATCGTTGAGGACCTTAGAGATACGAAATGCCAATTTATCTTCCTTGGCTAAATCTTCCTTGGCCTTCAGTACTAATAACCTGACCTATATTGGCCTTCAATTCAATAATATACACACAGTTGAAGATGGAGCATTCCAAGGTTAGACTTAAAGGTTCTGTAGCTTTTGTTTATCAAGCCATCCACATCCAGTAGTTTCTACCTTTATTAATTTATCCATTAATCTTATTTACCTAATGGCTACCCAAACAAGGGGTGGCCATGTTGAAGGAAGGTGGCCAATGGCCTGGATAGAACCCTTCCAGTGTTCTTGATAGTCATACTAAGGGCTTTTTTAAAACCTGGTACTGTTCTCGCTTCCACAGCTTGAGCTGGTGGACTGTTCCATAGGTCTACCACCCTGTGTGAAGAGTAATATAAAAAAAATGGTCTGGGTTTACCATTTCCATCCCTTACACAATTTTGAATGTTACTATGACATCCATTCTAAGATGTCTTGTTTGAAGTTATTAGTCCTAAGGCCCTCAGTCTACCTGGATAATCGAGATGATATAGTTCTGGAATTATCTTAGTTGCTCAGTGTTGCACCTTTTCTAGAGGTGATAGGTCTTTCAGGAGGTAAGGTTTCCATGCCTGTATGCAGTAATCCAGAAGAGGATACACAAGATGCTGTGAAGATGAAAGAGCATTTTGTTATCTTTGTACTTGAAGGTACTGTATGATATAAATTCCTAAATCTCAGTTCACTTTTTTCACTGCTGCAGTAGTTGTGATTAGGGTTGTAGTATCACACAAGCAGAATCTCATATTTTATGGTGAAGCATTTATCCATGTTGCAACCATTTGAACATGGTTGTGACATCATCTTGACTTGCCACCTTCCCAAATATCTTCATGTCATCCCCAAAATTGACATTGTGGCTCAATACACTTTCATTGGTTTTAAAAATGCAGATCACAAACAGGGTGGGTCCAAGGACAGATCCACTGAGAACCTTTTTACATTCTGAACGTACTCCTTTTATGACCAACCTTTGTTGTCCGTCTCTAAACCAGTTGTTGTGATGTATTGATAAGACTCTGCACTTCTTTTAGGAATTAATGGGCCTGTGGTGACTGACCTTTCCAATAATGAAATCGAGGAACTCCCAGGAGATGCCTTTGCTGACCTGCTGAAGAATACAACAGGATCCATCAGTGTGACAAACAACCCTCTTGTGTGTGGCTGTGACTTGTCCTGGCTCATCAACGCAACAGGTACCACACTTGCTCTCTTTACTTTAGGGTCTCATTAACTTAAAGTGTTCATTTTTAACCATACAAGTTATGCAGTTCATAAGCAATGTTCTCTTGTTTTATTGTAAGTAAATACATTGAACCCTTGTTTGATTTCATACAATTTTATACTATAGTTTACAGTTTCATTGCCATTTCTAACAAATAAATCTTAACTCATTCATAAGGGCTTTTCAAAGTGTCTGGTAATTTCATTTAGTTACTACCTTTACGAAATTCGTTCATATTGTGTAATACAGTATAAGTTTTTTATAGATCAACATTATGTATACAATATTTTTCACCGTGAGCCTTTGACCTTGATCGATGTACAGTATCCCCTGGGGAGAATTTTGCAAGTTCCAAGAATGGTGATAATACTGTACAGGGACACCTATGAACATAATTTCCATATTTCATGTAAAACCAACATTCTAGGTACAATAATAATCTTCCTCGCCTCAATGCTCAAAGATTTATAAAGAATGGATGAAGAAAGCAATTGACAATATAAAAATTGGAAAGGTTGCTGGTACCGGTAGTTCTGGAAGTTGCAGAAATGTTGAAAAAATCAGCCAATGCTGGTGTGACAAAGGTGGCTTAATTGATTAATGAAAATATGATGGAATATATTGCTCCAGCTGACTGGCTGAAGAGTGAAATCATAAATACTGTACTTATAAGAGGACAGTGAAGAAGTCTAAAACTGTAAGACCAAATTATAAAACTTGTGGAAAGAGTGAATGAGAAATTCTTAAGGGAGAGAGTGGACATTAATGAAATGCAGCTTGGGCTTATGCCTGGCAGGGGGACTACAGAGGCAAAATATATTGTGAGACAAATATAAGAGAAATATCTAAGGAGAGAAAGTTGCATCTTGTAATTTTGGACTTTGAGAAGGCATTTGACAGGATACCACGTGAAGTAGTACAGTACAGTAGGCAATGAGAAAGTTTTGGGTTGAGGAGTGTCTTGTTTGAGTGGTTATGGCATTGTATTCATGCTCAAGAACCTCTGTGACAGTGAATAGTGAAGAAATTGAGAAATTTTATATAAAAGTGGGGGTCCATCAAGGTTTTTTCTTGAGTCCCCTTCTCTTTATTGTGGTACTCGAGGCACTGTTACAATAATTAAGGTCTGGTCCACCCTAGGAGTTGTTATATGTTAACAACTTAGTGCTGATAGTGGAAAATTTCCAGAAATGGAAGCATGGAATGGAATTAAATGGTGTGAATGTGGCAAAAACAAAAGCAATGCTAAGAGGTGGGGGTGTAATGGCTGTAGGTAGGGGCTGTCTTTCCCTTAACCCAAGCAAAGTGTGAGTAGCCACCTCGCTGTGAGTGGTATAGTACTTAGCTGAGGGCATGCATGCCCCATCGACTAGGCAAGTGGTGGAAACGGTTGGTAACCCTTCTTATCACTTCATCAGCTGCAATGACACAATTAAAACACGAGTGAGTAGCTGTATAATGAATTACATAATCAATCTTTGTATTGCAATTCATAATAATAAAAAGTGTCGATTTCATTTCAACAAAATCACTTTTCCATTTTCATAATCACATTAATGATACACCAACATACAGCACACTGGCCAGCAACATTTATCTACTTTACCTAACAATTTCTCTGTTCATCATAGGTCTCCAACTACAGTATTGGGGGTACTGTAATTAAGTTTGTTGCATAGAAATTGATACAGTATTTAACATATTATCAATGGACTACCTCCATAATATTCGCTTTTACAAATAATTTGACCTCTACTTACTATATAAAGACAAAGGGAAAGTCACTAAAATGTACATTATCTAAGGTCCTCTACACACTGACAATAAAATTCATAAATATCAATACGAATATACAGTATTCAAAGATCAGACAAAGATTTTCATGTGATCTTCAAAAGTTAATAGAAGTTACGTTGCTTTCAGATGCAGAATTAAAACGTCTAGTTGGACTACAGTCTTCTTGTGGAATTGATGATCCTTATCAGTGGGAGGTTGTAAAGGATTTTCTTATATATCAGTGTTCTTAAGGACAAGAGTAACCTAGCCATTATTGTCTCTCTGTTGTACTGTATATGGTCAAGCAAGTGTGCCTGTCCTGTGTCTTGAGTTCAATCTCTGGCCCATGTGAGAAGGGTGTTACCTAGAGTGACCCTATCAAACATTGAAGGTTTTCTCCAGTGTCCTGTACTAGCAGTGGACAATAAAGGTCGTAACAAAGAACAGACCAACCGCTCGAAAGGTTAGTGACCAGACAAGTGGTAGAAATAATAAATTATGTGGCCGCTCTCAAGACCATGAAAACAATACTTCAACGGATATTAATGGGTATACAGTTTTATATATCACATTTCCCAGTGTTATTCTTCAAACTCTTTAGCTATTTATCAAGGGTGTTGATAACGAGTAAATTTATGTACAATATACAGTATGTAGAGGATAAAAGTAAAAAAAAAAAAAAGTAAAAGTAAAAAGGTACCAAATATTGTACAGAAAATGGGATCTAGGCCGTGTGTATACAGTACATAATAAAAGGATTCTCTTTAAAATGGAGAGACAAAATAAAATGCTTTACACTGTATTAACCTTTTGCTGCAGAATATGCATCTATGCCCACATAAATAATTTCCCTCGTCTGCATAATCCACGTATCTGTAGCAAATACCCCAAAAAATTATTTAACCCCTCACGAGCGGGCGTTTGAAATTTTGCTCCACGCGGTATGTGCAAAAAATATAGTACGGGTTTTTTAAGACAACTTTTTTTACATTAAATAGTACAAAAACACACAACAACAAAAACAAAAACAAGCAGAATGATATAATATGACAAAAAAGTTGTTTATTTACCTTATTTGGCATCTGGGAGGCAATATATATGTTGCACCATGTGTGGATGAGGTGCCCAAGTGGGATTGACGAAGACTCCACCTAGTGACGGACTAGGTACATACAGCGGGAGCCCTGATTATTACCTGGTGTTGGCTGAGTTTGAGAGTGTCAAGGAAGCATGAGTGCTTTGTTTAAAAGGACAAAAATTATTTCTTCTGGGTATTATTCTTGAAATAACACATATAATTGCCCACAGTGCAGTATTGTAAAATAATTTAGAACAACTTTTACATATTATTTAAGCTACTTATGGTACAACAATACAGTACATACTATATTAGTAAAAATAATATACTCTACCATAGATTGAAATATTATTATTTTTTCAACTCCGTACAAAGCTGAGTGTTCACCTCCTGAGATAAGCTGTGTTCCTAGACCTACTACACACATCTCACACCATGAAATACACAGACAGGCAGACAAACTCACACACAAGACCTTCATGTGTAACAAAAATAGATAATTTCTTTACAGTACAGAATAAGCGATGAAACACACACAAACACGCATGCACAAGCTAAAACTTTACAGTGTGTGGAACTCCACAAAGCAATTACCAACTTGCATCACATTCTAGGCACCAAGATGGAGTACTATAGGTATTGGCTTTTTATACTGTATTGGGAATGCGGGATGGTGATGGGCCTTTAAAAATCGTGACGGGATAGGACAGCGTAAATATACGTTGGCCGCAGCACCCTACGGCTGTGTATACGTATGTTAGCCACATGTTAGGGGTTAAACACCCAATGATGTTCCACAACTCCACCCGGACCACAATATGCCTGTGGGAGCCGGGGAGGTGCTGTCATCTGTCAATTTCGAGAGTTAAATGTTTCTTGTAAACAATCCCTCACTCAGTCAGCTGGTACCACCCATGCTGGACTTTTGAAGACTCTATACTCCTGTTTTCAATCAGAAATAAGATAACATTTGGAGGGTAAAATAATATAGCACCACTTTGTTTCCAAGCGTCATGCAGTGGAGTTTCTTTCATTTCACTCGAGGTACAGTATATTTTCCCCTCTCCCATTCCTGTATGTTCAACATTATGAGAGGGAAGTGAATGAGGCCAACAATGTGAGTAAACTGTTTTATGTGTTTTATTTACCCGAGTTGCATACTGTATATATGACAAGATTTTACGCATACAGTACAGTATAGTAATATGAATTAGATTGATTCTATAATGTTCTTACAATGCCAGAATTATGTGTTTGGGTACATTTGGCCTTAATAGAGTTACTTTGGTTAATATGCTTTAATTTCTCCACAATTATAGAATATTAAATTGTTCACATTAATTATAATAAAAAGCAATTTTCACTACATGTATTTATAAATGTAAAAAAAAAAAGAGTCAGGTTTGGAAGCTTTATGGTCACTTCTTATTAGAAAATTAATTAAAAAATTCATATGAACAAACATTTTATGATGGAGAAGTCACACTTACTGGGAACCAACCTTAAAATCTTTTGACACAGTGAAAAGGTTAGACTTAACTCTATTAATGTTCTGTGTTTCTGTTAGTCAGTTTATCAACAGATCTTATTCCTCCGGCAGCTCTGGGTTTACAACTATCACACTCAGTCATGAAGGGTGATTTTAAGGGGAGAGATGACAAACATTAGTAGGATAAATTTAAGGGACCAAAATACTAAGTTGGAATTCTACCAGGTTGCTCTTACCTCTGGGATGTGCAGGAAAGGGACATCGCCTAAGAAATCCTGTACCAGCTGTCACACAACAAGGAAATTAGGTAAGGGACTGACAGCAGATTGAGGCTACTTTTAAAGAGGGCTACAGTGTACTCTGTAGGACTAATAAAAGTGCTAGTACAAAATATTATAATTAACATAAAATTATATATAATTTCAAATTGCTATGAATTAAAAACATAATAAGTAACCTTATTTTTAGTTTATTTACTGCCATACTGTTCAGAAAAATTTTCTAGTCCTTTTCTTATCAACTCTTGAGTCACACCATCATCAACCAATATCATTAAAACACCAATGGTGTTAAGGTCAATTTTGTTCCGGTGTTCATCATCAAAGAAGAGCATTTCACTGAAGTCAATTCCAGATTTTGTTTTGATTCTGAAAATATAAATATTACATGAAATTAGAAAGCCTGATATTTGTGAGTGATACAATATGCCCAATGGAATACAAAAATTAAAACCACTGTCCAGTTCTATGGATATTGTAAAAATAGGTTTCATTAAGGGTAATGTGGCTACAGCACACTCAAGAATAAGCCTAAGCTCCATAAAGTGGCAGCATGGCCAACACAATACCTTTGCCCTCTTTCATATCCTCAACTAGTGGTGCCAGATGAAGGCTTAACTGCATGTCTGCTGACTTGGCACAATAAATTACTCCCTCTAAAAATCTCTTTTGATACTTCATATAGAGGGAAGCATAACAACTCCAATACTGTGTATGATGTCTAACGGTTGACTCCAGGCCTAAAGCCCAGATATCTGTGACATCTAATCTCCATTTGTAAGTAATGTTTGTCACAAGATAGACGGTTAATTTTTAGATCATGCCCCAGCCACCTCTTATGAATTCTTAAGTTCAAATCCGTGTTCTCTTAAGAGAATTATATACGAGTCACTCTGAATAGCATCAAGTTATAAAACATTATTTAATACCTACCTTTGAAAGTGTGTAGTCTTAGACCCAGGATAGATTTCTTTGTAGGTGAAGTATTTCTCCCAGTCAAAGAGTTTCAAGAGCTGATTTGCACCATCAATTTCCCCAGTGCGTGATGCAACTGCCAGGACATAGCCTTCATTATGGAGCTGCTTCAGTACACTTGGTACCTCCTTGTAGTATTTAACCTTCCTAGACTGGGCATCCACCACCTGCCCATTCCTGGAATACCATTTACTGTAATTATGAATGAAAAGTCAGAACTAAATAAGAGGTGACTAGAATGTAAACACCTACTGATCCTGTTGGACTATATTTACAGCCAGTGTCAACCCAAAGAGAGGGTAAGAGCGACTCAAATTATACTCAACAGCAAAACTCTCAAGTCTCCATCCTTTCCAGTATTAAAATAAAAGATGATTTAATTAACATATTTAATTTATTTTAGTTCACAGTCATAAGTTAGAGGTCTGAGCAAGGGGTTTCAGGCTATAGATTTACTCATTCGTATTGTAGGTTACAAAATGGGAATTCATATTTCTATCATTATCTGTAATAGCAAAATTAAAAGTTTCAACCATCATGTGGTGCAGTACAGTACCATCACTTCATAATTACATCAACCAACATATTCTATCCCTAAGAGGGTGCGATCAGTGCCTCGAGCCTTACAAGACATCAAACATGGTGCATCACAGGTCACCTTAACATCACACATACTGTACAGACCACCAACAAGAGCATGATACACATTTAATATTAAATAATTTAAGCAACATTACTTTAGTATTGATAAAAATTTACTCTTTAAAGAAGCGCTAACTACATGACTGAGTACAGTACAACAAACGTTAAAACAATTACCCGGTACTTACTTAGCCTTCCGAAATGGTGGGTCCACATGTGTGTCCACCCAAAATGGCCACAGGGTGTAGTCTATAAAAAAAAAAAAAGTACTGTAAGTAAAAAGCTTAAACAAATATTATACATGTACTATAAATGTCATTAGCAAATCTTTTAAAACTCGCAACAACATTTACAAACTTGAGCAATGTTATTAAAGATTACAAGTCCAATACAGTAATACAACCTGGCTTTTTCTTGGTCTAACAGTCTGGAACAAGAACATTTTGATTCACTAATCCAGCATTATAATTGGTCCTCCTGACCTGTACACTACAGCTGTATAGAATTCTTAAACAGATTGTGATTTTCATTATAACATCACAGGGCTTTGGCATGAAGACAACTTGCAGGGTATTTGTTGAGAAGCAACAGGAATAATGCAGAGTACAGTACAATACAGGGAGGAAAAGCTCAGTTCATCACCCAACTGCCCTGCCTCCCATACACAATTCACTTTCAACTTTTCATTTTTTATGTTATAGATTTATATTATAATTAATTTATTTATTTCTAAGTAGAATCAGACCAACGAAATGAAATTTCCACAACTTATATGGTTTCTTATGCAAATAAACACTTCAGCAATTGACACTAGGCTATGAATTATGATTATTTGACCATGAAATAAAAAAAAATGGGGCAGTAATAGAGGTACGTGGAGTACCCGCAAATTATTGCAACTCCACTGAAGCCATAAGAGAGAGCTTTGTACACAATATTTTACCAGTTTGTTCATAAGTCAGAAGAGTGTTACAGTAATTCCGTAGTTTAGGTTAGATTAACCTAAAATCACAACCCTGCCCATACAAAACAACAATAATTTCCCATTCATAAAAAATTATGTAAATACCTGTACTGTACTGTAAATAAAGTGTTATTAAACAACGGAAAGTAATAAAAAAAATTTAATTTCAATTTCCTTGACTGTTAGTCAGTAACAGCAAATGCTTGTAGGTCTGTAAAGATTTTTGTGATGAATATACTGTATGTACAGGTATTGGGATCCGTTCGTAAGTTAGGGTGTTCGTTAGTCGGGCATTTGTAACTCAGGGTCGGAGACTGCCTATACTACAGTACAGTATTAGACTGAGTGAGGGTACAGAAATGCAGCAAGTCTTTGGATTCAGAGCTCAATTCATTCTTGAAATCACATTGTATGTTGAACCATCATGAGTTGGATTGTATTTACCCCATAAGAACAATATTGTATGGGAAATTCATTCCCAACAAGTCATAAATTTATAGACCATTTATACTCAAGTACAGCTCAGGCTTTTATGATTAAATGTTTATGCAAACAGTAGAGGATCAGACTATATACGCATAATATTTTTGAGGGGTTAAAATTCATGCATTTATGTGGATTCATTTACGGTGAAGAATAGTGACCCAGTACATGCTCATGGAAGGCTAACCCTATTCACAATATATGCCATTTTAAATATATACAAATAACTTTAACTCAAGCATGAACCCTTATGACAGATACATTTACTCACCAAGATCAAAAGCAATTAGTTTGGGCTTCTTCAACATGTTTGTACGATGTGGTCACCCTTACAGCTTGTCCACAATGTAGCTGATCTTTATTATCTAAAGACCTGAAACAAATGATGAACACAGTCACTAAAACATTATAATTTCTAATACAGCATTGTACTACAGGTTAACCCTCTCTTAACTGGCAGTCCATCACCCAGAAACACTATCTGGCAAATCTCCCAAGTAACTATTCTGTATGTTCAATCATGAAGTGGTTGGCCAGTTGACCTCAGGCCCAATTCTACCTTTATTTTATGACATTCAAACAATAATAACCCATTAAATCAATGTAATAGTCATAAAAAAATACTAAAACAAAACAAACTTTAAAATAAAGACTGAAGTTTAGTGGCAGCTTGTCTATTTGGGATGAAGCTAAAGTGCTTACACTATCAGGCATTGGCAGGTATGAACCTAAAGCTAAAAATAGTTACGTTGGTCTTTGAATGCCTATACAGTATTAAAATTATGAAAACACTTCAAACTCTACGTAGAGATGCTCATACAGGTAACTTCTTACAGCTGCTGCTTGGTACTGTCAGCTGTGACAACAATACAAAGTACTGTACTGCGCTGTACTGTATTGTACTGTACCACAGTGACAACTAGACATTTATTTTTTTATTAATACCTGTAATTTCCACCACTTGTCACCTTACTCCACACAATCATCTTACTAATACACCTGTACTACTACTTTGCTGTCACTCGGAATCAAGTATGACGACCATCCAGCTATGATACAATGATATGAGTTATTAGGGATGTCACCTTCATTGGTGAGTTTTGAGGTGACTAAAGAAGCCGATACGGGACCGGCAGAGTTGTTCACATGTGGAGGGCTACATGTAGTGCGGGAGGGGCGGTGGCAGCATCTTTCCGGTGTTGGCGCTCGTCTGCCTCGGTTTGCAGTCGGGCTAATACGAAAGTATCGACACCTTCTCGTATGGTGCTCCTCCAAGCATTATTATGTGGTGGAAAGGTAGTGAGTGTTGTCGCTCAGCTTTAGGTAAAAATCTATTGAGTTTGTTAATAGATCAAGTACAGATATGGTGTCCTCGGGTGCCAGAACACATTTACTCTTAAGTACAAAACAAAAACTAAGGAAAATTGCCAAAACAAAATTTGGTAAAGGTGGAACAGACGGTAAGCACCTGAATGCATTCATATAGAGGTATTTTGTTCACGTGGTAAATATTTGTTTCATGGCTGTGGATCCTTTTTGTTATGAGAACAGTTTTGTGTGTGTGTATTTTGGCGTGTTTTACTCAAATCCGACCTTCATTATTTGAGCAGATGAGTGAATTTTGTATAAACTTAAAATTTAGTGTTTTACTTTTTTGACAAAATTCACTCACTTGCACCAAAAAACCTATTCTCATAACAATTTCAACTTACCAAATCACTGTTGAAACCTAACCTAACAATCCTAGAATAACGAAATATGAAAATTTTGTCGCAGCCATTAAACGAATATTAACCGTTCACATTTTCCACAGTTGTTCTTTGGAGATATTGTTTGGATGATAGTAAGGAAATCGAAATGACAATGCACATGTTGTGAGGTTAAGTGAGGTTAGGTCAGTTTATAGCAGGTTCTGTCGTTTTGATTTTCCTACTTAGTATCATCCAAACAACATCTGAAAATTTGGTGCAACTCCATAAAGTCCTTCTGGTGCTTACTGTCTGCTCGACCTTTACCTAAGAAAGAGGCTACTTTCTATACATATTTTTTCCTAGAGCTCTTGTGTTAACCTGGGCCCCCGTTCCAGAATATTCCTAACAATGTCTCCACTACTACACCTCATATACACCAACCAATATACCTTCAATGGCGCTCTTGAATTATCCTTAGTTAATTCATTTTACTGTTAGTCATTGTTTGGGTACCCTGACTGATGACCACAAAATATAAAATAAATGTATGCAAAGAAGCTCCATTATATTGTTGTTGTGTTACACGAGGATGGTCACTGACTCATGTGTTGCGTCATAGTTGTTTGTTAACCTTAGATAGCCGCCTGCAAGACCTCACAGATACTTAAGGAACACTTTTGTCACATATTAGTAGTTAATGTAACGTGTTCACTCAATAACAACTATGAAAGCATTACCAAAGTACAAATTAAAAGTACAGATGAAAAGAAAGTAACAATACTCACTTAATACCGCTGGAGTAAGCCTCTGGTGGCAACTCAATCCTCGCCCTTTAATTAAACCAAAACAGATGGAGGGAACAATATATTTTTACCACTTATTGATTCGTACTATTTCTTAAACATTGACCAAGAATACTTCATATGCTATAATTTGTTTCATACACATCAATTTTTAAACATAAACAATTAATTCTCCCTAAGTCGTTTATAGTTAAGGTTAATTTGCAATGGATATTACCAGAAGGAATTTGTGGATTTTCTTGATTTTTTTCCTATATTTATTGTTTTGATGATTTTAAGTATATTAAAAAAACGAAAACTTTCTTATTGTTGTTATTCTTATGCAGTTAATTAAAGTTATGCCCGGTTGGTCTCTTTAATACTACAGTAACGCCTTTAAACTCATTCAAAGTCATTAAGCTCCCCATTTAAACTCATTCATGAAACTGTTTATTTACTTCCATTTTCTGTTGCTATAAAAGAAAATGGAACTTTACATGGGAGAACCTCAATACTGTACTTTTTTTATTATGGTTGTAAGATATAACCATTTTTGTTTGCTATATTTTATTTTATCCTCTTTGCTACTCCTCGGTCTGTTATCCGGGGGTAGTTCACGTCTGTGTTAGGCACTGTGGGCATGTATTGGCCCTCTGTTACGCAAACATAGACGTCCGAAATATTTCTTTGCCAGAAGGTGAGGTAGAAAGCAAGACAAGATCTGACATATCATTTTATTCAAAACATGAACACATAAATCCATATAAAAGTATGCGCAAGAATAATATAGTTACTTTCGAGTATTGTATGATGAGCAATATCACTCAGTGTTATCACCAAATTATTAATCACTAAAACTATTATAGGGTTAACGAACATCATACACTGTGTATGATGTTCGTTAACCCTATGTGTATGATACACATATTGTGAACAAAAACTGCGATAAAAGAACATTTCTAATTTTCCAATGGGGTGCGGACGCCCATGTTTGGAGTCGATGCTGCTTTAGTTTGGGAGGGCGCGAACTCTTGACCGTGAGTGTACCGCACGGTAAATGTGATAATATTGGTTGAATTGTTATTTTCGTATCTTTTTACTCATTGTATTTACTCTGTGATAAACTTGAGGTAGCGATGTGGCTTGGTCTGTGTACTGTACACTGTATACTGGCCTTGTCTGTGTATTGTGTACTGTATACAGTACTTGCATACCAGTATGCAGATTATGGTCGGTAGGAAAAATATAATTTGGAATACTGTAATATTGGAGGATCAAGATAGTGTGAGGGTTTTGAACTTGCATCACTGTACATGAAATAGTGAAGATTATCATGAAAAGGATGTTGTCAAAGATTAAAGACATTCGAAACAGAATTATCTTAACCGATTAAGATTTTATAACACAGGAGAAACATTCTATGATAGCAAGTGCTAATCCAAGCTAAAACAAATGAGTAGAGCGAGGTTCTGTAGAATGGAATTTCAACATATTTTGGGGGATCTTAGTTTGTCAAAAGAAAGTAGACGTTACTGTGTATATATAGTACACTATCCTGACACCACTATGACTCACCTTCTTCAAGTTCTGGTGGTCTGACAGTGAAGACCAGCCTCATCCAGCCTGGCACAGTACAATACATAAGTGTCCCGGGTACTATGGACAGCCCTGCATCTAACAGCTCGTGTTACAATTCTGTAATATGGCGTTACTATGAGGCACAAGTACTGCAAATGTTTTACAAAGTCACTCACCCTGTTCTTTAACGTAGAATTTCCTGAACGACATAACATGACTGTATATGGTCCCAATACTACTGAAATACCAATAACTTTGCATAAACATTACCACCAACACCGAATAGCTGTTTGTGCATATAACATTAGCGATGTTGATTAGCCATTAGGATCAATTTGGCTCATTTCTTGAGATTTACTCAACATAGGACGGGCGACGGTTGATTCTGTAGCGACTTTAATTATCGTGTTGACAACCTATCTCTGAAACCTTCTTTTTTTTCACAGTTTTTGGAAATTATCGATCAAAATAATTCTGTCAATCAAGTGTCGTCCAGCCCATCTTTCTGAACACGCTCTAGTCCTAGTTTGATCTCCTATTAACTGTGATCGTGTATGAGATTTTGCAATTGGCCTGATCGATCGAGCACTCTCTGACCCTGGTTAGGTTAGGTTAGGAGCTATAGAAACACTGGCCAAACCATGATATCTTCCAGTCCAATTCAAACACGTTCTAAAATGATTTTGAGTCGTAGTGATGATTCCCCGCGCCTTGAGGAGCCTAGAGCAGCAAGGGAATGTCATTTTGCTGTCCTGAGCCTTTTCCTCTACAACACCCAGAGTGAACGATCGGTTGCCTGAATCCACGAAGCATTATATATAAAAACACAGATGTATAGAGAAGAAAAGACTTGAAATTTATGCGTTGACTCCCGTAACTGACACCTTGTATCCTTCTCACATTATTTCATTCTACTTGTGTTTATATCTTTCCTACGCTTGAATCCTTAACCTGTTGCTGCCCCCTTTATCTCACTCTCCCTGTGTTTTAACTTCTTTTTTAATACCAGCCACAGCTACAGCAATATTGTACCTAATTGTATCCTCTAGTGTGTTTGGTCAACATGTAATACACAGTCTTACTCATCTCCTCCTCTTCAGTGGGGTGACACAGGAAGGGCTGAACGCTGAACCACAAGAACAGACCAGCTTGAGATGTCTTGACCGTCACTCCCATCTCCTCCAAGCGTCTACGTGCAAACAGGTAACTCCCAGTAATCCGTTTCTTGTAGGTAGGGAGGTAAAATTCGTCACACCAAACTATATATAGAGATGGAATATATTTACTGAGAGCCATTACATAACATCAATCACATGGCGTTACAAGTGTTTGCTGAAATGATTAATATTTCTATGAGTTAATAACAATACCACGTGACAGGTACAGGAGAGAGTTACAACTTTTACACCACAGTCTGACAACATCATGTTAAAGGTCCCACTAACATCACATAACTCCCACCATAACTTTGTTTACTGTGAACTGAAAGAGTGGCTCTCTGATCCACCCATCAAGAGGCACACAGTACACTGGCTCTCTCATGTCAGTGTCAGTTTGGGAAGAGCTGTTGTCTTACCCTCAATAATGTCAGCAACTATCTTAGAATAGATTCTCATTCACCGCTGCATCAGGACTAGTTAACCTGTACAGTATATCCACCTCGAGTTTCCTCCTCTTCTTACACGGTTATTTTCTCTCAATAGACTTAATTATCACTATTACACACACAAAATACCCAAATTCCTCCATTATAAAGTTTGTTATAAGAGACAGCAAGGACCTACCAACTACCGTTAGAACACACCTACGTCGACAGTAAACTCACCTGTATCATTTAAGAGTGTGGCCGCAGCTTAATGGACGATGGCTGGAACATTCTTGAAGGCCATGACAGGGGCGAGAGATGAGAGCACTTCATCACTCCTACACGAAACCCAGAAACACCTAAGTCCTGTTATGATGAACTTTGTATTAGAATTCCATCAACTTCAAATGGCCCATCACCTGTGGCCCATCACTTGTAGCCAATCACCTGTGGCCAATCACCTGTGGCCCATCACCTGTGGCCCATCACCTGTGGCCCATCACTTGTAGTCAATCACCTGTGGCCCATCACCTGTGGCCCATCACCTGTGGCCCATCACTTGTAGTCAATCACCTGTGGCCCATCACCTGTGGCCCATCACCTGTGGCTCATCACTTGTAACCAATCACCTGTGGCCAATCACCTGTGGCCATTCTTATACGTTCTGAAATAATAGTGAAATACAAGCAACCCTAAACCTTGTACAGTCAGGCTGTGAGAACCTTGGCTCTCATCATTTCCACTGAGAAAACTAAAGTATTTAACCATCAAAGTTTAAGATAGGTAACAACACTATTGACTATTTCTCTTCTTTTAAATAACTCGGTGTCTCTATCCCCCACCTGCCGTACAACAGCTAACCCGCCAATGTATGGACACACTGAAACCCCTTTAAAATATCTATCCTAACACTCTAAAAATTTATATGACTTCTCTTTGTTTCTCTAGATGTCATTATAAACATGATTACTACATTACCAACCTTACTCAATGCCCACAACACATGTGTGCGCCGTGGGTCAGGTAGGTCTAGCGTGAGCACACTTTGGAACACTGCATTTTCACCATATACAGACAATGCATAAATTTCATCACATATAAAGTGCAGCTCGTGTCTGGAAATGAGTGAGAAGGTTAAAGAATTTATATTACCGTATATAAGTGAAGAAATATTCTGTACGGAAAGAAAATCCTACTCTCGACCCGTGATGAGTTATTGATACATTGGTACAGTTGGTCTCTCTAGTGTAGGTACAGGAGGAAACCGGACTCATAGGAAACCCGTGATGTTTGGTGACACTGAATAACAGCCTTCTCACGGAGACATAGTGACGCACCTGGCACAGACATCCAGTAGTTGGGTGAGAAGAGATGGAGGATAGATGTCGCCAAGTGGGTTCTGAGGGTTGAGGAGGATGAAGGCCTTGACCCGGCGGCCTCCCTCTTGTAGCTCCAAGATGCGATCTTCCAGAGCCTCAGCGCTTAAGCTAAACTTCATCCCCTCAGAATTCTCCTGTGCAGAAGGTTCAATAAGAGAATAAAGAACAATAATATACTAAAGTTTGTGTCTGTTGCATGAGTTAAAAAGACTAAATACGATGACTAATGAAATCTTTGACTCAGCAATTGTTTCTGTAAGAGTTAATTCACTTCAGAAGCATTGTGGTTATTTCAGCATCCAACAGTTTCTACTTAAAGATGTTCCCGTGACAATACTCACCTCCTGTGACAAGACCAGAGGCTCGATACAAACATCTGCAACGTCACGAAATTCTGTGACGATGTGAGAATATACTGGCGTTGGTGTTATGTTGACATCACCCGGGTCACAGAGAACGTGACCCAAGGCATCCAAACACGACGTTACTCCATTTGCTATTATTATCTGCGGGGAGAACACAGTTACCTCTCTATGTTAACTAAACTATGTGTGCTTAATATCACTCCCCTGTCTCTTATCATGGGTGAAGTTACTGGGGTCTGATAACACAAAGAAACAAATTTGTTTTGGGTTGCTACATAACATTTCAACCTCTCTATATTTCTTTACAGACTCTCCCTCTGATCTGCCTGAAAGATCATGTAATTTCATTACGACCACATATTTTTTATCTCTGTTTCCACTTTACATTGTTGGGCAAGATGGGCTTCACAGGATGAAAGTGTCTGTTGAGAAAGTCTGTCAGTGAGATCTTTGCCTCGCCAGTTCCAGAAAAAGTGAAGTAGTGGTGGTGGAGAGACAAGACGTTGAAGGCATCTCCCTGCATCAGTCTACTGGTAATCTCATCCTCCATTAAGCAACTAATTGATGTGCTCATGTTCACTATGCCCTGGTGAGAGACGACAGCAGCTGAAACACTCTAAAGTATATTGTTTAATAGGATGAGTAGACTGACCCCACATGAGTAAGGTACCACAACAACAACGCAGAGTGATGACATAACTGTAATAAAATCAGAGAGGAACCTTGCGCGAGACATGTTACTTAAAGCCACTCAACTCAGTTCCTTATCTAGATATCTTCCTAGGAGCGAGAGGTGTTAATTACCATTTTATGGAGTACAGCCCAAGTAAAGAGGTACTGGAAACCCAAGGACGTCAACGTAGAAGGTTGGAAACAGTAGTGCACATTACACAGGCACCTCATCCACTGAAGGAGAAATATACAGCTAGATGACAAAATAAAATGATCAACTTACCTGAGGATTTGAATCAGCACCATATAGATTGTCTTCAATGCTTAAAAAACTTTCATAAAGAAAATCCCTGAAAGATGCCGTCTTCGCTCCTCGGGAAGAAAGGAGAAGTTTGCCCGCTTTCTGTTTTCCTTCTGACGTCAATAAACTCATTGTTACAAGGCCCAGAACTGCTGCCTGTGATGATGCTTGGGGTCGAAAGTCCACTGAAATATGTTTGAAATAAGTACATATATCAGTGGTTAAGATGAATATACTGCCTTTTAAAATACTAAATGTGAAAAAAAATCTATAAACAATTCATAAAGAAAAACTTCATGTAAAAACTACTTCAGCTCTGAAAAAAAAATTAATTGGATTTTTATTTAGCTGTAATTTACCTACATTTTCTTAAGGTATGTGAACTAAGCTGTACAGATTAGCAGTGTCGGCAGCTCCTTGAAGCTCTCGAGGGCGTTGTGAGAATAAGGGAACTAGGTCCAATAAATTAGTAGAACCAATACGAAGAGAAGACCCGATATGATTTACACATCACCCCGGCTTAGTTCACCTGATGATTTAACACTTGAGTGCGAACGGAGGGGGAGAGGTTAGGTTAGGTTAGGTTAGGTTAGGTTACGAAGTTGTTACTCGCAATGAACATGGACAGAGAGAGAGAGAGAGAGAGAGTAGGCGCCTGGTTGGGGGCGTCCTTGTGTGGAATGCTGGGGAAAAGAGAGGGGGAATGGGGAGATCAGTAGGGTAGGGGAGTATGGGGGTAGGAGAGGGCATAGTACAGGTGGGTATCCGGTTGAAGTCGCCACAGGAATGCGGGGAAGAAGAGGAGGAGGAGGAGGAAGAGAAGAAGGAAGATGCAGAAGAAGGAGGAGGAGGAGGACATAGATGCGTGGATGGAGTAGAAATGAAGATCGAGGACACTGAGAAGAAGGAGGAGGAGGAGGAAGAGGAGGAGAGGGAAGAGGTAGAGAAAGGAGAAGGACAAGGAGGGAATTAGAGAAAACAGCAGAGAATCGTAATGGCCGCTAGTGCTGGCTTTTTTGTCAACACTCCGGCTTTCACTTTTAGTTTCTCCTCTCCGACCATCCGTGTTGCTATCTGTTGTTGTGTATGTCTGTGACTGTCTGTTGTTGTGTATGTCTGTGACTGTCTGTTGTTGTGTATGTCTGTTGCTGTCTGTTGTTGTGTATGTCTGTGACTGTCTGTTGTTGTGTATGTCTGTGACTGTCTGTTGTTGTGTATGTCTGTTGCTGTCTGTTGTTGTGTATGTCTGTTGCTGTCTGTTGTTGTGTATGTCTGTTGCTGTCTGTTGTTGTGTATGTCTGTTGCTGTCTGTTGTTGTGTATGTCTGTGACTGTCTGTTGTTGTGTATGTCTGTTGCTGTCTGTTGTTGTGTATGTCTGTGACTGTCTGTTGTTGTGTATGTCTGTTGCTGTCTGTTGCTATGACTGTTACTACCTGTCTGTTTACATCTGGCAAGTTAGTGACGCTGTACCCATACCGCAACACTCAGCATGTAAACTTTGTGATAAACCTTTAAAGCATAACTCTTGAACACTATATTATTGAATGTGACACTGTCAGGCCACCTGGCTTATTGTATCAACAACTATATAATTACTACATTAATTCAGGGATGCTTGGGGTCACTCTCACTGTTTATCACAAATTTGCTGCTAGCCCACACTGATTAGTCCTTATATAGAATATGACTTCTACTGTGTATGAACCTCTGTCCTGCGTGGCGGTGAACAGTGATACTACCCTCAGTGTCAAGACCTGACTGAATTACTCACAATAGGCAAACTGTACTCCAAGCTTTGTCAATAAAGTTGTTAAACCTCAAATCTCTCTCTCTCTCTCTCTCTCTCTCTCTCTCTCTCTCTCTCTCTCTCTCTCTCTCTCTCTCTCTGTCTCTCTCTCTCTCTCTCTCTTAACTAGGAGTCATAGAGGAAGGGGTTGAGAAGGGATCGAACCCGCTTTCGCCTCCACTTTCATTGAGTTCCGGAACCACGAGGCAGAGATTTTTATCCCAAGGTGGGTGGGTGGGTAGGTGGGTAAGCTGAGTGAGTTGGTGGGCGATGGGTGAGGTGGGTAGATGTATGGGTGAGTAAGGTGGGTGGGTGGTTACCAGACTATTTGAGTGGGTGGGTGGGAGGATGGGTGCGTGGTTGGGTAGCTGGTTGAGTGAGTGGGTGGGTGAACAAATGGGTGAGTAGGTGATGAAAGGGTAGGTGGGAGGATGGGTGGGTGTGGTGGGCGTCAGGAGGCGGATACAGCCAGGGGCGCCCTCAGGAGGAGAGAGAGAGAGTAGGGGGCGATGAGGAATTCAGGTCTCGTACCCTGATAGTGTCCAGGTCCGTCCCCCAACACATGACCTGGCCCTGTACCTAGGTGTAGGTGCCTGTGTAGGGCAGGTGTAGGTGCCTGTGTAGGGCAGGTGTAGGTGCCTGTGTAGGGCAGGTGTAGGTGCCTGTGTAGGGCAGGTGTAGGTGCCTGTGTAGGGCAGGTGTAGGTGTCTGTGTAGGGCAGGTGTAGGTGTCTGTGTAGGGCAGGTGTATGTCAATGTAGGGCAGGTGTAGGTTTCAATGTAGGACAGGTGTATGTCAATGTAGGGCAGGTGTAGGTTAATGTGTAGGCAGGTGTATGTCAATGTAGGGCAGGTGTATGTCAATGTAGGGCAGGTGTGTATGTCAATGTAGGGCAGGTGTATGTCAATGTAGGGCAGGTGTAGGTTTCAATGTAGGACAGGTGTATGTCAATGTAGGGCAGGTGTAAGTGTCTACGTAGAGCAGGTGTAGAGCAGGTGTAGGGGCCTTTTATAATCATCAGCGTGTAGCCACAAAGACATACCACTGTATTAAAGAAAGTCTCACTGGGATGACTCACTCCCTCACCTCTGGCCTGGACGTCATTCCTCACATTCCAACACTCTCGTCCCCCCTCCCTCCTACCTCTCCTCCTCTCTATCTATCCTTCTCTCCCCCTTTTACTCCCCCATTTCATCTCCCCCTCTTTCTGTTGTCTCCCTCTTTCTCTCATGTCACCTTATCGTAACAGTCTCTCTCTCTCTCTCTCTCTCTCTCTCTCTTTTTTTCACACTCTGCTGACAGGATATGTATGGGGTGCACAATAAACTGGTTGCTGTGTGAGGTAAAATTAAAATATCCTAACCTAACCTAAGTAGATACGTTCACAAAACACCACTTATGATACAAACAGAAATTCCTATATAATGTTTGAATTTAATGACAAACTCCTTCCCACGTCTCTCCTTCCTTCCTTTCCCATTTCCTTTTCTCTCCTTTCCTTTCTTTCCCCTTCCCTCCTTTCTTTTCCTTTTCTCTGTCCTCCTCCCTCTCTTCTTCCCTCCTTCCCCTCCTCTTCACATCACTCAAGTTATTTATAATCTTTAATTTCCCCGGGTCGGCAGGTGTCTGTGAGAGAGAGAGAGAGAGAGAGAGAGAGAGAGAGAGAGAGAGAGAGAGAGGGGTGAGAGAAGTATTTTTCATTCTTACTACACTGACCCCTTCTCTCTCTCTCTCTCTCTCTCTCTCTCTCTCTCTCTCTCTCTCTCTCTCTCTCTCTCTCTCTCTCTCTCTCTCTCTCTCTCACACACCTTGACGATTAATATATGTTTTTATGTGTTTTAAACATTATATTTCATTATACTTATACAGTTTAACTTTTTTTATCTGGAATAATTTTTAGGTAGTGTCGGCCATATTTGTTTAGGTAGTGTCGGCCATATTTGTTTAGGTAGTGTCGGCCATATTTGTTTAGGTAGTGTCGGCCATATTTGTTTAGGTAGTGTCGGCCATATTTGTTTAGGTAGTGTCGGCCATATTTGTTTAGGTAGTGTCGGCCATATTTGTTTAGGTAGTGTCGGCCATATTTGTTTAGGTAGTGTCGGCCATATTTGTTTAGGTAGTGTCGGCCATATTTGTTTAGGTAGTGTCGGCCATATTTGTTTAGGTAGTGACGGCCATATTTGTTTACTTAGGGTCGGCCCGACTTTTGTTTTAGCCTTATTGTTAAAGATACTTCAATACTTACTGATATGACTGATAAGACATTTATATTAGATTACGTAAGACATAAATCTCCACGACGCAACTTGTTCTCGTGTGATTTACTGTAAAAAATAAGAGGGTCTTTTTTTGGAGGAGGGGGGGGGGGGGAGGAGGGCGAGGGGGGGGGGGGGGCAGATCTCTCCTGACCCCCCCTCCCGCCCGAAGCCCTAAGAGGTAGAGGATTCAGTACAGAATTAAAGTTCTATTTATAGGATTTAATCGCATCTATACCTGTACTACTCTTTATTAATATGAAGAAATAGGATTGAAGTCGAGTCTCCTTCCTACAGCAACACCAATCTATCACTCACCCCCCCTCATCACCCCTCCCCCCTCCTATCTCAGTCTCTCCACTTCACTTTCAGAAAACACTTAAGTACCCACACAGGTACTTAAGTTCATTCTCCCAAACAGCCAATTACCCCATTTAATAGAACGATCATATGTAGGGTAAAAAATATCACTTCGGTCATCCACCTATTTGTGAAGTAGCTCAGAATCGTTCAAAACACCTCAAAAAAAAGACATTGGAGAAGCATAATTTCAACCTAACCTAACCTGGCCTCTCTCGGACGGTGGTAAATAAAAATCCTAAAATATTCAGTGGATGACCATAACGATAATAATACCATTTTCTATTACATAATACTAAAAGGAATAGTGTCCCCCCCCCTTAATTAAAGACAAAATCACTAAATTGTTACGTGAATTTTATCCCCAGCAAATTCTTCTCTGAGAAAATTTCATACCTGGTAAAACTATACAAGGATTCGTCGGTGTTGAGTTGATGCCTGAGTGTGTGTGTGTGTGTGAGTGTGTGTGTGTGTGTGTGTGTGTGTGTGTGTGTGTGTGTGTTTCAGAGGTGGATGATAAGAGGGAGAGGGGAAAGACCAAGAAGGAGATGTAAGGATATGGTGAAGGACGTCCTATAGAAGCCAGGGAAGTAGCAGTCATTCTATGGGAAAGACGAGGTGATGGTAGCGTGTATGTGTGAAATTAGAGGTACACTAGCCTCTATTCTACACGTGAACCACCACCTCGAACACTACACCTGAGTCTATATAATTCATTCATAAATAACTCCAATTATCTGAGTTATGAGCCAGCTTCTAAAATTAGATCTGACATTCCCTCGTAAGGACTATCAATAATTCTCAGATAACCTATAAATAAAACAGTACATAATATAAGTTTTTATCTAAATATAACAAGCGTCACACGGGTCTGTAAATAGCTACAAGAGAGCTATAAGATCCATTCACGCCTCAGCTAAAAATAGGACGAACGTTTATGGTGAAAAATTCCATATTTTACCTGACTTGTGGTGCTGGAGAGGTAACCTATTCTGGGAGATGTGATGTAATATGTCCCGCTTCCTCCTTTCAGCGGGTAGGAACCCCTTAATATATCTTGTAATTAAATTCCTACTACTCATTCCAGGGTCGTGAGGAATTGAAATTTCCAAGGTTTTAAGTTTCAATAGTTAATAGGTTCTTCACATAAGGGTTCTCAAGCCGTGCCTTAGTCTATAATACGGGTGACTGGTGAATCTGATATAGCAAGTATTACTGAGCGTATTATTCAGCACAGTTTATTATTTTTTGTCTACTTTTTTTAGTTTGAGTTCACTTCCAATATAAACATCTATTTCATATTACAGTTACGAGTTGATATCAAAATTCAATACAAAGGGAAAAAAGTGAATATACACGATATCTACGAACCTCTGGTGAATTTCATAGTAGGTGGCATGCATGGGTCTGTTCCTGTGGTGGTTTATACGTTGTGTCGGGGGGGTTTGGTACGGTCCAAAGGTAAGGAGTTTGAGGACCATGGCAGGGTCTTATGGATAATGAATATTAATATTGAAACAGTTTATTTAGCCAGAAGAACACAGATACAGAGTCGATAATAATACAAATTGTAACATGTCTGAGCGAGTTGAGAACCTGAGCTTTCTTGTAGGCATCTGATATATACTATACATTTATCTCAAGGAAGTATTATGTAACATTTGTATCATCTGGAATAGTACACATAGCATGGTGGTAATAAGAACATATTCCCCGTGTGTGTGTTGCCAGAGTAAAACGTTCAGCTTGGCTCGCGACAAAGAACACCTCAGTCTGTGTTTAGTGCCACCTACGCTAATTTCAGATGTTGATTACAAACAAAGAAACCCTCAGGCATAAGTCAAGAGTATATTGTTGACGCTAATATTAGCCCTCGCCAACACTCACCGCCACAACTCACTGATCGCACGAGTAGTCCAACATTTCTTTCATTATTAATTTATATCTGTTGGTATAAAAAGTATTTTAGAATCACTTTTAATACTTGAATAATTTTCTAAACACTGATTCTCCAAGATTCGTAAGCCACTTACTCCTAACTTGAGGCTCTACTGTGACTAGATACAATGAAGGGAAAATAACACAGGAATGAATCCTTGATTATCCTAAGATGAGATCCCCAAATATTCGCAGTTATGTTTGTCCAGAACAGAGAAGTCACCTTGTAACAAGTTAGTTTCACAGAAATTTCGACATTTTGACTGATATCTGTATAGTTTGGTGGGGTGGCCTTAAGATTAATATTGTAAATACGTAACCCACATTTTAACCCAAACAGAACTCCTGAAACAAACACACACACACACACACACCCTCCTGGGGGCCAGTGTCGCAGCATCTGACCTTTGTCGCACATCCACCCAGTAGGATGTTCATGAGACAACATTCCTCCATTTACTGTTCACTAGTCTTGTGAAGAACAGACCAGTATCAGGTAACTCTTGTAAGATCCTACATATATCGAGGGTGTAGCTACCCCTGTGTGTGTCGCTACTTCCAAGTCTATTCCCCATACCAACAACAAATAAACTTCCTTCCTTTCCCACGTGAAGGACAGACTAAAGAAAGCCAAGGTCGCTGCAGCCAAATTAAAACGTTTTAAATTGATGCCTGAGAAGATACAAGTTCACCTGTACAAGGCGCTGGTGAAGCCTGTGTTGGAGTACCCATCTATACCACTCGTCACACTCGGGAAGACCAGACTACAACAACTACAGAGCTTCCAAAACAAGTGTTTGAGATCAGCCAGTGGCCAAGCGCCACCCTACCAGGAGACAGTGGAAACCATCCACCTGAGAAATAAAACAGAGGCCTTCAACGTCAGGTTCCATCGCCTAGGGAAGAAGGTTTGGGACAAGCTCCTGGACGACCCTCACAGCCCAGACCACCTACTCGGGGAAGACATCAACGGAGGGCGACCCCACGCCTGGTGGGTCTGCCCGCACCACAACAACCCAACCCGCAACTCATCTATGTCCGCCACAGTGATCCACCTTAGATTAAAACTTAGATGATATAAATTCAAATTTAACAAGTTACAATCTAGTGAGTCCATAACGTAATACAGTATATTATATTAATAAACATGTAATTGTAAAATCAAACTAGTCATTGTCTACCAAAGTAACCATTGTGCAACCTCATCCTAAATCCTAGGTTAGCTTAGTTAGCCAACAAACTCTGTAATATGTAAAACAAAGGGTGTCGTCCCCCTCTGTTTAACTCATTAAACTTCTTTTCCAACCTTTCCCCCCACGACTATATGTTGTGACTTCTCCATCCCTTATGTCTGGCTGTGCCTTGAGCCCCAGCAGGCCTTCCATCCTTTCCCCACCTTAACCTAAAAAAAAACAAAAAAAAAAACAGTACATTTGGGAAATATGCGTGACGCGTCCCGCCAGTCTCTAATAATTTCCCGACCATTGGCATCAGTGTACAGACAAAACAACAGGCAGGTAGATGTCCACCAGGTCACAGGAACACACTTGTCAACTGTCAGCTTTAAGAATCACTTAATCTTCACCAAAAATGTTCACAGGGTAGTTCTTACAACTGGACTTCTCACTTTGAATATATACAGAGGTTAATTCTTAATATACGAAAAACATATATTCGGGTTAAATGCGATCTGTTTTACAGTAAATGAAACTCTGGAACTTTAACATTATTCATCCAAGAACAAAAGGTGAGAACTATTATCACAGGTCTTACTCTTATTTAACAACTATCTAAGCACGGTAAACAAGGGGCACCGCCATTCTCACATCATAACTATTGGACCTCGGACTACTTTTACCACATTAACAATTCTCACATGTTAGCCAACCACAGTTGTTTATTATGGAGACAAGATCCCGCGTGACTAGCCTTCTCCACGGTTGTCGCTCTTCTGCTGGTGAGGAGGAAGAGATGAGAGTGAGGGCCAGTATACATTTACCTGAGCTTCAAGGCCGCCCCAACCACGTGATGAATTCAAAGTCCATGCTGTATCAGCAGTATTAGGAGAAAGTCTCATCAGCTTAATGTCCATTGGGAACAATTTTAACAAAAAGGTCAATAGTTGATTTTGTATGCATCTCAACTACTAACTTAGGTTGGCTTGTGTTTTGGTCCAGGCTCAGCCATGTCAATATTGTTATTATTATCGACTTTGTATCAGTATTTTTCTGGCTAAGTAAACTGATTCAATATCAATATCATTATCAATATCAAACCTAGTCCGCTACAACTGTTATACACTAACTTATAAACTGTTACGCAAATAATGGGACCTTGACTGTTGCTAGTTTGGCGGATAATTTTGGTCTCATTTTGCTTATTTGATGCTCAATACAATAAAGACAGTCTTTTTTTGTGAAAATGCTCAAAAACAAATGTTTTTTTCAACTTCCTGCCGTTTTCCATTGAAAAGCAACAAACATTTCTGGTCTATTTAGGAAATATTGTAATGTGTCGTTGCAAATGATTACTACGGCATTAAATCATTACTTGCCATTGAAATATGACGCGAGGTTTGTGAACCAAACTAACTTAACATATCGTAACTGAAAAATAAACTAATATGAGTAGAGTCGGTTAGGGTCGGTTTAATCAGTCTGCCTTATGCCATCTTTTATAACTGATTTAATGCAGTAGTCTCCCAGAACGCCATTATGTAAACATCGACCAGCAGTGAGTTCAACTCGCATTTCTTACTCAAATCTCAGTAAGTTCAAATTAAATCTCTTGTGTTTTATAAAAGTATATTATGACTTGCTATTATATGGTTGTGTTTCCGTCATTTTGTTCTCATGTTCTTGCTCAATAATAAGTTAACTTGTTTTAATTCGAGTTACAGCCGCATTATCTGTACATTTAATTAACTTATTTGATCATGAACCACTCACCCATTCTGGCACAGTTAACTATCCGGTATGTGGTTAGGTTAGGCTAGATTAGTTTAAGTTGAATTAGCTTAGGTTGTCATTAGATTTGGTTAGCGTAAGGGTGGTTTATTTGAAGGTAAAATAAGCTAGGGGCTAATCTTCAGGTGATCCCCTATGAACGCGCTGTAACGGCAGGGAGTTCCGTTAGACCACATTGTTTTGAGCTGAAAACTAATCAGTGGAACTCCTTCTTGATTATAATATTTTTATTGATACTAATATTTATAGTACATATTATAGATCATAAAATGAGCCTGACATTTTCTAGAACGGACCATAAAACCTTGAATCATGTTGAAGGTCAAAAAATAACATCTCCACTTGAATATCTTAAGTGGCGCTGTGTCGGTCGGGGCGTTAACTGTAATATTTTCACCAACAGTTGATAAATCATTAGAGATAGAACCGTAGTCGAGATAATATTCTGTTTTATAGAAGATTAGATAAGTATTAGTGGAGCCTATTTCTCCCTTAGGTACGACTGGCAGATGACGTGGACAACTTTTCCTGCACCCAGTAACTGTATGCATTACACACTACTTTATTAACTCATCTTAATCACCACATTCCTCACTTACAGCTATATATGTATACTAATGACCATCTCTATCCGGTAGAGTCTGGTTTTGCTGAGATAAGCCCGAGTACACCCAGAACACTGCCCCGGCCTCCCTCCGTCCGCCTCCCCGCTATGTGGACACTAACTCTTTCCTGCTGCTGGATTTAGGGAGTTAACGGTAAGACATGCTTTAATAGTTTGGGGTGGGGGGCAGACCCGAAACGTATCATTTACTATCTTAAAAGAGTGCTGGGACCTGCAGTTTGACTTCTGAAGTGAGTGAGTGAGTGTGGTGAATGCTGACATAAAGAATGTTGTCAGGCAGGTACTACCGCCTGGGAAGATATTGAAGCATAATGTGTTGTCTAATGGTAGACCCTGCTGCCATATGGCATCACGAAAATTGTGACCAAGTCCCAGGTTGCTCATCTGACTTTCTGCCTCATTTACACACAATTGCAGGGTCTCAATTGTTTCTCTTACTTTGACAACACAACATACATATGTCGTTTCTCACTTCTGATTTTTTATTTTTTTATTTTTTCTGTAAGGGTTCTTTCTTGTTATTATTATTAGTTGTTTTTATTATTATTATCATTATTATTTTATTTTTATTTTTGTATTTTTATTATAAATTTTATTTACTATGAATTACTATTATTATTATTATTATTATAATTATTATTATTATTATTATTATTATTATTATTATTATTATTTTATTATTATTATTATTATTATTATTATTATTATTATTATTATTATTATCATTATTTTGATTATTATTATTATTATTATTATTACTATTATTATTATTATTATTATTATTATTATTATTATTATTATTATTATTATTATTATATTATTATTATTATTATTATTATTATTATTATTATTATTATTATTATTATTATTATTATTATTATTATTATTATTATTATTATTATTATTATTATTATTATTATTATTATTATTATTATTAATATTATTATTATTATTATTATTATTATTATTATTACATTTTCGTCCCCCAGGCCCTGATATGGGTCAATGACCTGTGCCAGGGTGGGCTAATGCCCGTAAAAAAAGAAACGTGTAATCAAGAGCAGAGATAGAGCATCATACAGCACATACCTGCACACGAAACTCCGTGTCTCATAACGTGGTTGGGTGGTTAGGTGGGGGTGTAGTGTGTTGTCACAGAGCCAAGGGAGGGTCACACACACTACTATATAAATTCCCAGACCGCGATAAAGTGATCTCTATGACGTAACGCTGACGTCATCACGTCACGATTCTTACCCTGAATGCCTTTTTGCCTTTTGCTAGTGGATGATGTCACACTGTTTTGGGCTTGAATTAAAGAGAGATAGGTTAAGTCTTATATATATATAACGTTATTGATAATTTCCTTGCTATTACTGATAAAAAACCTTCAACCACCCACCACCCCTTCCTCTACCTTCACCACTCTACCCTCCGCTGCCACCCCCCCTTCCCCATCATATCTCTTCTCCACTCTCCATCACCACCCTCTTCTCCACCACTACCACCACCACCTTTTCCTCTCCCACCATCACTTACACTTATCCACACTTATAAAACTGTAATAAGGTGTTGCCCACGATCAGTTATCCAGTATCACCGACCCTCCCCGTCACCCCACTCCACCCCTCACCCACGCACCTCTCTCATCTAGAAGACACCACACATCACCACCAGTTCACAACACATCACCACCAGTTCACAACACATCACTACCAGTTCACAACACATCACCACCAGTTCACAACACATCACTACCAGTTCACAACACATCACCACCAGTTCACAACACATCACCACCAGTTCACAACACATCACCACCAGTTCACAACACATCACTACCAGTTCACAACACATCACCACCAGTTCACAACACATCAACCACCAGTTCACAACACATCACCACCACATCACCACCAGTTCACACATCACCACCAGTTCACAACACATCACCATTCACACACATCACCACCAGTTCACAACACATCACCACCAGTTCACAACACATCACTACCAGTTCACACATCGTTCACACATCACTACCAGTTCACACGAGTCTGGAGCCTAAAGTTACTTCTGGATTGAGTTAAGTGTTTAAGTCTAATTAATGTTCGTTCCAAATACCAAGCTCTTGTGTGTGTGTGTGTGTGTGTGTGTGTGTGTGTGTGTGTGTGTGTGTGTGTATGTGTGTGTGTGTGTGTGTGTGTGTGTGTGTGTGTGTGTGTGTGTGTGTGTGTGTGTGTGTGTGTGTAATAGTATTCAGGTCACACTTGTCCCTGTACAGCGTTCTGGTATGGATTCAATCCTACAACCTAACCTAACCTAACCTAATCTAACCTAACCTCACCTAACCTATTACATACACCAGGTGAGTTATTAGGGGATACTGGAAGTGATGGGGATTGGTATGACTAATTATAATACTAATAATACGATTAGCAACAACACACACACACACACACACACACACACACACACACACACACACACACACACACACACACACACACACAGACACACACACACACACAGACACACACACACACACACACACACACACAGACACACACACACACACACACACACAGACACACACACACACACACACACACACACACACACACACACAGACAGACACACACACACACACACACACACACACACACACACAGACACACACACACACACACACACACACACACACACACACACACATACACTTCCTATAATAGAAATAAATGCATGTTGATATGAAAAAATAATGGTACATGGTACAATATGCCAGTACGGGAAAGGTCAGCTGATGACTGTGTGTGTGTGTGTGTGTGTGTGACAGTTACGATATATTGAAAGCAAAGGCAGACGGAAATATAGACAACTAAGCCAAAAGATAGACAGACAGAGAGACAGACAGCTAGTATTAAGTAAAAAACACAGATAGATAGTTATAGATATGTAAATAGATGAATAGATACAAATTAAATATATCAGATCAAGATGATAAAGAGAGAGAGAGAGAGAGAGAGAGAGAGAGAGAGAGAGAGAGAGATAGAGAGAAGGAGGGAGACTGAGAGGAAAACAGAGGAGAGAAAGTCAGAGAGATAGAGAAAGAAGAGAGAGAGAGAGAGACTGAAGAGGAAAACAGAGGAGGAAAAGTCACATGAGAGATAGAGAAAGAAGAGAGAGAGAGAGAGAGAGAGAGAGTTATATTATGAGTTAATTTTCCAAGTGTCAGAAAGAGAGAGGAACGGGGAAGATTTTTACAGTGATGTGTGTGTGTGTGTGTGTGTGTGTGTGTGTGTGTGTAATTTAGTGCATATTATGAAAACAAAACTGATTCTACTTTAAGGTACCTCTCGCAGTCTAATA